AAGTTATGGCGTTTTGAAAGCTCAAAAATCGCTAAATTTGGTGCCTATGTTAAGTCAATGGGAAAAAAGACTTTTTCGAAGTGTAAAATACAGGATATAGACTGAGTACAGCTTAACATAATGAATGCTTATAAAAGAAGGGGACCTCAAAAGCTACATAGTTTCAAAATTTGGACACCAAAATGCCTAGGTCAAAATCTAGGTCAAATTCATAGTGTTTCCTTATTTTTACGATTCTGACACTACACTTGAATAACTTACTTCCAAATTTTGTATACAGGTAGCAAAGATTGTGCTTATAGTGTTAGCCTTTTGCCGTCAGAAAGTATTTTGACCCACTTTTGAGATATGGTGTCCGAAAAGTAGGTCAAAATAAAAGGTTCTCCAGATCCAACGTATGAGTTATGAATTAAGAGTAGAATTTTCTCAGGAATCCAAATCTGCAAATTAAATTTCGATCCGACTTCCGGTTCGGAAGTTATGGCGTGTCCAAAAAGTAGGTCAAAATAAAAAATTTCCAAATTAAACGTGTGAGTTATGAATTAGGGGTAGAATTTTGTCAGGAATCCGAATCTGCAAACCAAATTTCGATCCGACTTCCGGTTCGAAAGTTATGGCGTTTTGAAAGCTCAAAAATCGCTAAATTTGGTGCCCCATGTTATGTCAATGAGAAAAAGGATTTTTTGAAGTGTAAAATACCAGATATAGACTGAGTACAGCTTAACATTCTGAAAGCCTATAAAAGGAGGGGACCTCGAAGACTATCTAGCTTTAAAATTTGGACGCAAAAATGCCTTGGTCAAAATCTAGGTCAAATTCATAGTTTTTCCTTATTTTTGCGATTCTGACATTACACTTTAAGGATTTGCTTCAAAATTTTGTATACAGGTAGCAAAGAGTGTGCTTATAGTGTTAGCCTTCTGCCGTCAGAAAGTTTTTTGACCCACTTTTGAGATATGGTGTCCGAAATGTAGGTCAAAATAAAAAATTCTCCAAATTTAACGTATGAGTTATGAATTAAGGGTAGAATTTTCTCAGGAATCAGAATCTTTAAACCAAATTTCGATCTAACTTCTGGTTAGATAGTTATAGCGGTTTGAAGTCTCGAAAAGTCGATATGATGATATCCCCATGTTAAGCTAATAGAGTCGAAGATAGCCTTCTTAAAAGTTGTCTAAATGTCTATATTCTAGCTGACTCAGCTTATTCTGAATGACTCAGCTTACAAGTTCTGGATGACCCAGCTTAAAAAAAGTGTGAAATCTGGAGTCTTAAATTGAACTTGTTCAATTTACATGTCTAGTTATTCCAGATAACGTATAATTTATGACGCGTTTTATTACGTCATCATTTATTGTGCAGCTCTATACATCCATAAGTGTGATATTATGTATAGACGACAATTTATAAGACTATACACACTAATGTACGCATATAGCTGCACAATAAATGATGACGTAATCAAAAGCTTCATAATCAAATATACGTTATACGGGAATAATAAACATGCTATGAGTTGCGACTTGCGAAATTTCTCAATTTAAGTAATGAGTACTAAGTACAGAAGTATCATTATTTATGTTTTCTACCTTATTATCCCAACGAACGAAGTTCGTTAGGGATATAGTGAAGCCCTCCGTCCGTCCGTCTGTCCGTCAGTCCGTCAGTCAGTCAGTCAGTCCGTCCGTCTGTCCAGAAGATAACTCAAATACTAGTAGACAGATTTTCTTCATATTTAGTGGAAAGATGTATATTGGTAAATAGTTTTACGCAAAAAATTTTTTTTTCAAGATGGCCGCCGCTTTAAAAATGACGGGACTTTTTCGCAAAAATCATAAATTTTTCATTCTAAACCAAAGTAATTAATATTATTGTTTGAAATTTTGGTAGTGTATTCACAACATTTATCTATTTCACATATATTCCGTGTTTTCATCCTGACCCCCAGGGGCCATGTATGGGGGGACAGGAAAACAGAAATTTTCGCTAATTTTTAGATCTTTCTGAAGTATAGCTTTATTATACTCAAATGAAAGGCAATTAAGAGTAGATTGCAAATATTGTATCTTTTTCTGATTCGAGCCTCGTAAAATTCAAAATGGCCGTCTAATGTACGATTTCGCAATAATTTTTTGATCCCTTCAAAGTATGGCTATATTATACTCAAATTGAAGGAATTTTGGAGTAGATCACAATTATGGTATTATTTTTCAGATTTTTACCTCAGAAAATTCAAAATGGCTGCTTTGCAGGAATTCGCAATTCTAAAATCTAATTTTTTCATTTTCAACCAAAGTAATGAGTATAATTGATTGGAATTCGGTAATTGATATTTTGTTCGTTGGGATTTGCTACTCCGCGGAGTTGCCGTTATCTAGTTTAATATTTATTGTCAATGTATACAATTACAGTGATAAGTTGTTCAGCTTTAAAAGTCCTTCGACTTATGGATATAATTTTGAATGAACCTTTGTAAGTGGAACGCCTTTATAGTGGAACATTATTTTTAGACATCAAAGATGCTCCACTTACAGATATTTTGCTGTTGGTTTGCAATTGATAATATAGGATTAGGATATGCTAAAATTGGTGATGTAAAGTCCTATAATTTAATGTGTATTATATTGTTTATTTTTAATTTTATGTACTTAATTGTACATAATGTGTAAAATGAAATTGTATATATGAATACTGTAAATAAAAGTAAAATACTGTACGATATTTGAATTAGAAAATTTGTTTGCATGTATACCAGGATAGCAAAGATGGATGCTAAAATGAGATCATTGACTCAAATTGTTAATACTCTTCTTACTATAAAGCACAGTGGTCTGTCTGTCCAGACATCTCCTCGTAGACCATTTGACCTTGGGCCCTCATACAGCCCTTAGTCAGCATACTAAATGGGTTGATGGGCATTCTACGAAGGTCAGAGGTCAAGGTCATCTCAAGGCCAAAGGTCAGTATCTAGGTATCTGGCTTTTTAATGCATTTAGGGGCTGTTTTGACCAATGGCAACCAATGATAACCTGAGGTTAAAGTCATCCCTAGGTCAAAGATCAGTAGCAAGGTATTTGGTGATGTTGATTAATGATAAGGTGAGGTCAGGGTTAATGTTTATGTGTCAACATCATCTCGACTCAAGGTTAATATCTAAGTATTTGGCGTTTAAGGACTTTGGGGGCTGCTGTGACCCTTTGCAACCAATGATCAGGTGACCTTAGGTCAAGGTCAATGTTTATTGGCCAAGGAAATCTAAGAGGAGGGAAAGCCCCAGAGCTTTAGCGATGAGTGACATAATACGTCTCTTGCGTACCACCTTCGTTTGCGCAAATTCTCACCAGTTAATATTCGAATAAAGCGCGTCGTCGTGATATTTTAATCGAAGTAAACATAATCCTTACATATTTCTTTATCTAGATGTGAAAAACCAAGCTATGATATTGGTTAATACGCCAGGAATCAACATAATATTCGAAGCGTTAGCGTTAGAAAATTTTGAACCCGCAATTTTTGTTTATCGATTTGGACCAATCAGAGGTGCATGTCATCTCAATACAGGTTTACATTATAAGCGTATGTCATCTGTGAACTCTGATGTTAATCCTCCTCTAAGGAAATCTCAAGGTAAAAAAGTCAGTATCTTAGTATTTGGCGTTTTAAGAACGTTGGGGGCTGCTGTGACTCTTGGCAACCGATGATTAGGTGACCTGAAGTCAACTTCATTCATTTCAATATGTAGGTACTTGGCGTTTTAAGACCCTAGGGTCTGCTGTGACCTTTGGCGTCCCATGATTAGGTGAACTAAGGTCTATGTAAACGTTATATTGTCAAAGGTCAATATCTATGTATTTGATGTTTAAGGCACTTGAACGATACTGTTACCTTTGGCGACTCATGATTAGCTGACCTGAGGTCAAAGTCAATGTTAGTAGAGATTTTACATTTTGGCATGTCATCTCCTGATACCTTGGTGAACTAAGTCATGTGATCATTTATATCCAATCAGAATGCATTTCTGCCACATAGTGATAGCATAGTGATCCAAAGCTAAACCAAGGTGTAGGAAGGGTTTATATTATCATATAGAAGGGGTGCACTTTTCTAATTTGCCATGGTTGACAAGCATGTTCGCAAACTTAATACTTGCACCAAGAGCTCTGACTGGCATCCTAACAAAATAAATTCATACTACATTGATGTCTGGGTCACATTTGCTCCGTTTGTTCAATATTGTATTTAATTTTGAACAAAATACTCAATCGGCATGGCACCGTAGTGAATATCGGAGCAATCTGCATTACTTGTATACAGTGTATACCAATAGCCCATTTTCAGCATAGCAATCTCTAAGATAGAAGGGTTTCCAAAATGCTCCATCATGGAATACCTTGACCCTCTCTTCTTACATGATAGACACAGACATGTTTCTAGATGCGATGTGTACTAGAATGATTGGCGGGAGGGTGCAAAGTACTTTCTTGATTATTAAAAATAAATGCCATTGTCACAGGAACTCTGTATTTTATGTAAATCCATTGAATATTTATCTGCGTGCTCGAAGTTAAGTAAGTTAAGAAGATCAGATTCTTTATAACACTTGATCCAAATCTATTTGATATTCAAATTCTAAGTAAACCTCTCTTTTTGAATAACCAACTATCTATCATATCACTCAGATTGGATTAATCAATATTCTCATACTCTCTCTAGTTTGTATGAATGAATGACCCTAAACATCATGTGAAAGACTTTTCAGAAAATGTGCCATAATAAATGTGTGTTCATAAACAATGGAGTACATGATATATATCATGAGTATATGAGTATATATGTATATCATATCATATCATATCATGTATATCATGAGTATATGAGAACATACTGGAGAAAGTATATACACAGGCGTGTTGGTTCATATACATGTCCATACTGAAGAAAGAGCGTAATGTCTCTTCATACGCATTATAGATATATATATATTTTTTTTATTTATTTATTTATTCATTTATATAATATAACAGTACAATATAGTCCTGCGGCTGGGCTTAAAGCATTATTAGCCACATCTAGAATACTTATATAAAGGGGTAAAAAATAAAAATTGTAAGCCTAAATGGTAAAAGGCTTAAACTGCCTGGGGTCTTTCGAAACACTGTCTGATAAACAGAGCACTGGATGCAAGTATTTCATGGTTCTTACTAAGAGAAAGAGATGGGTGACCAAAGAGAAATAAGTCAAGTTTATCTTGTCTATTTTTGCATAAATGCCTGTAGTTCGGAAGTAAATCAAAAAGCTTCTGTTCAAAGCTTATGTAGAATGGTTGTCGAATAGGACAAGAAAATATTACATGTTTTGTTGTTTCACTTTTGTCACCACATATACATTCAGGTGAGTTTACATTGACAAAGTTATGGGCATGAAGGTGAGCATTAAATATGAGGTCAACTCTTATTCTATTCAAATATATCTCGTCAGCCCTATTAATGCCCAACTCTGATGCCAATATAATATCATTATTTAAGAACAATTGACTAATATTATTCTTAAAAGTCTTGATTGTATCACAGTTTCTAATCTTGGAGCTCAATCCGTTGAACTCAGTCATACACAAGAAGGTGGGAGATCTAGAGCGTATTCTTGAGCGACGTAGTGGAACTTGAAAAGGTATTACATTACGAACATCTCTGATATTTGTTTTTTTGTATTTGTCAAAAATTGTTGAAACATAATGAGGTACATTTCCACATTGCACTTTGAACATAAATGTAAGTCTATGTATCTTTCTACGAATCTCCAAGCTTGGCCAATTCAATACATGGAACAGTTTAGTAGACGAGGTTCCAGCAATTGTACCTGCACATATTGTTGCAGCTTTATAATAAAGCCTATCTAGGCTCTTCAGAGTTGTTAGGTTTGCACATCCGTACAAAATATCATATAAATCAAAATGAGGCAGAATATAAGAGTTGAACATAAGCTTCAGATGTTTACCACCCAATTTTCTTGATATACTTTTCAAGTGGTTTAGCAACTTATCAATTTTATTAGCTGATTCGATAATATGTGGTTCAAAGGTAAGCTGGCTATCAAAAACTAAACCAAGATGCTTGTGGTTATTTACCTTTGGAATAATGTCACCACCCAAAGACAAAGAAGGAGTAAGCAATTCTGCTTTCCTAGGGTCAAAGAAATTTAACTCAGCACTTTTACTCGCTTTGAACTTTAATTTCCATTTGTCAGACCAATTGTAAATTGCATCTAGATCATTTTGTAATTCAGTCATCTTTATATCTATATCACCAGCTTGAAATGGCTGGTAGATGGACGTATCGTCCGCATAGAGATAACATCTAGAGTCAATATGGTCAGTTATGTCATTGATATAGATAAGAAAAAGAAGAGGGCCTAATATTGATCCTTGGGGAACTCCAGAGTTGATGTAACTTTCTTTTGACCATTCAGAACTTTGGCCATCGATGACAACTTTGACCCTGCGATTAGTTAAGTATGATCTCAACAAAGAGCATACATCAGGACCGAAACCATAACTAGGAAGTTTATTCAAAAGAAGGTTATGAGGAATTGTGTCAAACGCGGCCGAGATGTCCAAAAATGCCGCTTTTACATTAAATCCTGCATCTAAATGCTCAGTCAAGTAATCAATTATTGTCAGTAACTGAAATTGAGTACTGTGGCCAGGTAAAAACCCACTTTGTAGATTATATAATAAATTCTGATCCACAAGAAATTTAAAAACCTTATTAAATATGATTCTCTCAGTAACTTTTGAAAGACAGCTTAAAAGTGTAATTGGCCTATAATTTGATGGAGTATTTTTGTCACTTTTCTTATGAATGGGAACAATGTTACCAAGTTTCCAGCATTGAGGGAAACAGTTTGTTGCAAAAATCTTGTTGATAAGTTTAGATAATGGTTGAGAGAGAGCGGGAGCTGCCAGTTTTAGCATTTTATTACTAATTTGGTCTGGTCCAGAGGCCTTATTTACATTTAAATTCATCAACGTTTCGAAAACTTCATTGTAATTTGTTGACAGCATGTTGATTGACTCATTTGTACGAAGATGTAAAAAAGCATTATCAACAGGCCCTTCAAAATGAAAACTTTTAATAAAATGATTCAGGAAAATATTGGCTTTATCTTTGCCTGACCTGACAGTATTACCCAGATCGTCAACAAGAATAGGTATTGAACTAGATCGACTGTTTGAAAATAATTTAGATGTGATGTTCCAGTAAGATTTTGAACCAAAATGTTGTGTTTCCATTTTACTAATTATCCGCTTTTCATGTTCGAGTTTCGCTTGAGTAATGGCATTATCTACAATTGTGCACTGGGCAAGATATCTATCAAATTGTTCAGGTTTGTTAGAATGGCGAAATGCATAGTGACATTTGTTCCTTTTGTTGATTAATGTTCTGATTTTGTCAGTAAACCATGGCTTGTCATTTGATTTTACTCTTATTTGTTTATTTGGAATGCAAGAACAAAAAATATCGAATAATGAACTGGCGAACTCTTTCCCAATGTTGTTCAAGTCATTTGAGTCTTCAATTATATTACAAAGTCGCGAGTGACGAATTGAGTTATTCAGAGTGGAAACATTAACATTGTCGTATTTCCATACCCTACGTAGAAAAGATGGATTTTTTGTAATCCCAATAAGGGTCTCAAAAACCAGCGTGCTGTGGTCAGTATTACCTACTGGTGGCGTCACCATGGAAGATGTGATCAAGTTTGGAATATTGGTAATAAGTAGATCAATGCATGACCTGCTTGTCAAAGTTACACGTGTTGGTTCATTAATCAACTGTATAAGACCTAGATTTTGACATAATTCTAGAAGAGACTCACCTTCATATTTATTTTTTTCGCTCCACCAATGCTTATTTCGAGCATTGAAATCACCATTAACTACTAGAAAACATGATGATTTTGATTTGGCCAATGTGCAGCTTGTATTAAAGCGGTCAAAAAAAGAATCCGTTTCAGGACGTGTTAATGATGGTGAACGGTAATAAAGCCCATATGTAATTACTCTATGATTAAGTCTTAAGTCAAGCCAAATAGCATCATTATTATCATTCATTAGATCATGTCTAAGTTTAGGTTGAGGGATATCTTCACTTACATAGATAAGCAAACCTCTATTTTCATTTATGTAAATTGGTGGATGAAACCCATCAATATTAAATTTGTTCTTAATATCATGCTGTGAGTAATTCCCGACTTCACATAAACCAACAATTTTAAAGTTACCTATTTCAATTCGTTCTTTAAGTGCATTAAATCTGGACATGTACCTCGCTCCAATACTATTAATGTTTGAAAACATAAATTTTAATGGAACATCTTTGTCTATATCAGGCCCAGGGTTAGGCTCAATATCTCCACACATGGCTAAAAGTGTTTGGATTGTACTGGGCACAAAACATACGATACAACCAAACCATAAGATAAACATGATAGAACAACACATACATCGCATAACTCTAAATCTTAATAGCTCATTGGTATAATCCAATGGGCTCATGCATGCTTTTATACCTAGTGGCAGTAAGCATGAGACAATAAGTGAATAGAAAAAAGCTAATGTTGTGATTAGATAGATAATCACCAGACTGATACAAACATCTAACAAGCTCAAAGTGACTATTAAAATGATTAGGATAAAAATCAACTTAAAATAGTTGGTAAATTGAGCACACTTTCCATGTAAGAACTTCATGCACAACTTTAATAAGCCCATAATAAAGATATCATTAGGTAAAGGTTTACTTTTCCTTGGAATTCCAGTACAATTAAAGTACCCAATGGATCTTCGCCACGCTGTAACGTCGATACCCATTGCGTTTAATTTAGTGCATGTTTATCAGTGTGTTAACAAAGAACAAGTAGCAGTTAACAATTTATATACAAATCGAGAAATTTTAATTGAAGAAAAGTTATACCCTATTGGAAACCTGTGGTTGCCCGACCCCAGGCAGTGGACTCCTGAAACCTAGCTACACGTGTAACAAGGTTAACCCCTTGCAACAAACAAATGGTCTTTATACACATAAAACATAAAGTGGAACCCAATCATAGAGCACAGCACAATATGATAAGTAACTGATGAGTAAAATTCAAATATAGATGGCAGTTATATAGGAAAATTAAACACAAAAATATTTACAGTCATATGCACAGATCCTCGATCTTGACCTCGCAGAGAACTATATACAGAGTAAACAATTATATTATACATAGATGCTCACATTCAATCAAAATTTAAATGCCATGGTCATTTCATGAAAAAGTATGAAGTCAATGAAGTGGATATTCCTAGTCGTAATCATCTATATAAGTGGACTATTTCAATCCATTCAAGATTCAGTAGCTATCTACACTTGGTATAATAGCGCAGCACAGCACAATATGATAAGTAACTGAAGAGTAAAATTCAAATATAGATGGCAGTTATATATAGGAAAGTAAACACAAAAATATTTCAGTCATATGCACAGATCCTCAATCTTGACCTCGCAAAGAACTATATACAGAGTAAACAATTATATTATACATAGATGCTCACATATACTCAAGATTTAAATGCCATGGTCATTTTATGAAAAAGTATAAAGTCAATGAAGTGGATATTCCTAATCATAATCATCTATATAATAGCTTAGACCAGTAATATGGCAATCGTCCAATAACCCAGATAATAAATTCACTCTCTGGCAATCATCATATGAGGCAATCAGCTTAAATATCAAACATCGGGATTAAAAGTATGGTTTATAGGTCTCTCCTATGCGGTATATAGCACTGTAAAAGTACAGGAACCTATAGTACATGAAAGGTTAATAGTTAGGACTTGTACATAGCCTTGTGTATTGGGGACCTGTCAATGTCTACTTGAAGTAGAATCACACAGGCTAAGGAGTGTGGCCACTTTGTATGAGAGCCTCAGTGGCAGTGGCTAGCAAAAGCTCCTTGGTCTTGCGGCCAAGACCTCGGACACCATCCCATTTTGTAATAATGACAATCCCATTGCTGATTCCCTTGTCTTGTAGAAGCTTAAGGATATCCTTGCTTGATCCGTACTCTCCATCATCGTTATGCCCTTCGACAATCGTATCATTAAGTTTCACTCTGTAGGCGTATATATTGTGAGACGCGGTAGCATAATCACGGTTCTCATATACCTTGCACAAAGCAGTTTTAGCTTCTTGCTGGTTCTCCACGACTGAAGCATGAGCCAAGATCTTTGTTCCCTGCTCAAAATGAGTTTTTGATTGACTCAGAGACTTGGTTATCATAGAGGGGTCCAGGTGAATGTCAAGGGGTAGTTTGTTCTTGCAGAACTGGGGATCGACTATTTCACCATCTACCTTGAGAACATCTTGTCTCAGTGTTGCATGTTCCCCTTTAAGCTTGAGTTCCTTGAAATGGGGATACTGTGCGTTCCTCTTCTGGAGCATTTCAGGAGGTAGTTGATCAGAGATGGAGATATTTGACCCAGCCAGATTACGAGCATATGACATGACGTTGATTTTGCTTTTACGGTTAACAAATTTGGCAACCATCATTTGTGTATTGTTAAACTTTGGGCCGAATCTGTGAGCAACGTCAAGCTTTGTGGATCCATTTGGATTTTCAGGAGATTCAATAAGCTCGTTTGGTACCTTCAGGTTGGTTTTCAGAAAATCTCTGACTACATTGCAGCAAACCTCATCCTTAGACTGGGGCAGGTTTCTTATAATAACGTTCTGCTTCATTGAACGGAAACGTATGTCAGTAAGACCATCCTTAAGGGATCCAATTCTATCATCGTTATTAGCTATGCGCCCATCAAGCATTGCAACAATGTGATAAAGGTAGGCATTCTCCAGTTCAAGCTCATGAACACGACGGTCAGACTCCTCTTGTTTGGTTGACAAAAGTTCTACCTTCTGAGATAGTTCCTCAAGTTTTTCAACAGTTGAGAGAGGTTTTTGATTTTTAGTAGGAGGACTCGTCATACTGGGGCTAATAGGTGATTTTGTCTTCTTTGGTGCCTTGCGCTTGACAGATGTTTGCACTGGGGTGAGATATCTTTGCATAACAAAGGATAGTTCACCTTCAGAAGTTGAATAAATATTATCTGTTACACTATGTTGAGAATGATCGATCCCTCAGGTGCTGATTTTATCCTCAAAATATTTTACATCTAAAAGTCACTCAAATATGGAGATATGATCCAGTATCTGCTACTATAATCCAGTAAATACATGCACTAGACATTCATAAGTAATCCAGTAGAGTTATACATCAGTCACTGTCAATTTTGACAATGATATTTGAATTTTTGCTCACTGGTTGAATTACACCTACTTGCTTACATGTTGACCTAGTTACCTAATTAGTTGACCTAATTATAGATATTGTACATTAAATTCGTTCACGCTCACTGGTTTAAGTACATTTTATTCGTTCTGACACATTGATTAATTAACAAAATATTGCAGTACTGTCAACCCCCAAAGATTTTCTCGCGGGACAGATTTTTAAGACCCTGTGCCAAAAATTCGCGGGATTTTGCGGGACATCCACCTAAATTCGCGGGATTTCGCGGGACATTTAAGGGATTTGCGTGATTGCGCTAAAAAGGTCAAATTTTGATCAAATATTCGCGGGATTTCGCGGGACCATTCGAGGGACAAACACGTTACTTGCGGGACAGTTAACAGGTTAACCACCAATTGCAAAGACTTCATAGAGGGATAATTTTTTTAGACAAAGTGCCTTAAATTCGCGGGATTTTGCGGGACATCCACCTTTTGCGGGATGTCGCAGGACATTCAAGGGATTTTTTATGTAAAAGTACTCTTGAATCAAACTTTCAGATACTGATTTATCAAATATAATGCACTTAACTTAAGTAAACGTCAACACGATTCCACACAATACGCATAGAACTATTATTAAACTATCAAAAAACCACGCTTTAGGTGTGAGTACCGTAATCCGACACGAAATTCAAAAACTTATTCTTGTGAATACTTTGCACTTATGGCGTTCGTGACCAACTATGAAACATTTACCCCCATAGTGTTATATATCAAAATGTACCTATTCATATAGGGGTTCGATTATTCTACATCAAATTATAGGGAGTCAGGTTTCTTTTCGAGATATCAGTGTCCATTTATTGGAACTCGCGTTTGCTAAAATTTTTCAGTTCTGAGATGAAGGCCGTGACACGCGTAGTAAAAAGGCCAACGTTGGAACTAATTGTGACATACATCCCTATTTCCGTAATTAAAATGAAATTTGCACTCTTCCTCTTTATTTTGATACCAAACGGCATGCTAGAAGCCAACTATGGTGTTATTTGGATCAAAATCATAGTTTTACAAGTTAAGTGTACTATGCTCTTTCCAAAAACAGTCTCCGATGATCTGATGCACTGGGAGTTCGGCAGCACTTTTCAAATTAGGTAAACTTGACTCCTCAAAAGTGCAAAAAGCTTAGCTTCTTATATCACAAGATAATCACAATTATTTAGCCTCGGGGATTGTTACAATTTTGAAAATTCGCGGAGGTCAAAGCCGTCATTTGCGGGAATTCGCGGGACATTGCGGGACACGCGAATAAGCCAAATTTTGGTCAAATTCGCGGGATAATCCCGCCATTCGCGGGACACTTGACAGCTCTGATATTGAAATCACGGAAGAGAATGGACAGCGTTTTGGTTCATGCACAATGGAGAAAGTACAAATCATTTGCTTATGCATGTTGGAGAATGGACACAAAATATTTGTTCAGACATGCAGGAGAAAGTACAAAAAATGTGTTCATTGAAAGTGGAGAACCCAGATTATATACTTTCTCCAGTTTGTATGAACAAATTCATCAATGTGTTTCATGCAACACATTTTAATTTGTAATTAAAGGTGCTATGTAAGTTAACAGAAATGACAAAACAAAAAATGTCAAAACCATGCTCGATTCTGAATTTTTTTTGAACCAAGATAACAGAGTTCTGTTTGGACCTCCAGTCAGTTTAACTAGTTCAACATATTTAAACGACCGGGAACACAAGGAAAATGGTCAGAATGACCATTAACATGATGAAATAACCTTTTCTGCCCTCTGAAAATGTGACTGAAAAATAGCTAAAAGTAGGGCTCAGGAAAGGTCAATGAACAGAATCCCTTGATTTTTTCAGAAAATGTGTCTAATATATTGCTCTTAATGATACAATCTTTGAAATTTTAAAAAATTGTCTGAAACAATAATTGCTGTAGTTAAAAGGAAAATAGATCGATTTTGAATTCATTTTTTTTCTTTTTCTGAGAATGATATGATTTTTTTCAAAATTGTATCATTTAGAGTAATAGATTGGGCACATTTTCTGAAAAAGTCAAAAGATTCTCTTCAGTGACCTTTCCTGAGCACCTACTCTTAGCTATTTTTCAGTCACATTTTCAGAGGGCTGACAAGGTTATTTCATCATGTTTATGGTCATTCTGACCATTTTCCTTGTGTTCCCAGTCATGTAAATGATATGTGGAACTAATTAAACTGACTGGAGGTCCAAACAGAACTCTGCTATCTTGATTCAAAAAATTTTCAAAATCCAGCATGGTTTTGACATTTTTTGTTTTGTCATTTCCTGTTAACTTCCATAGCACCTTAATTTGAATATTCAAGTAAGATCTTTTAGAACTGTGCCTGTTTGTGAAATTTAGTCAATAAACTAACCATAAATGTCTGCAATAATAGAAAAATCAATAGTGATTTTTTGGGCAATTTGGTAAAGCCTTTGGTTTGTAATGGGAAGATTGTCTTTATCGCTAGAACTGTTCTGCATGGGGTCTTTTGCACAATTGATAAATTATATACTAAACTAATACATTACTATATAGATTTGCAATGTCTAGGTTTTATTCCAGTAACTGACTCCACTGAGTGTGTATTCAAATTTTGTGCTTATAAAATGTATCGACTCCTATACTACCTTTTGAATGAAAATAAACTCTTCCAAAAGTGATAGAACCTTAGTGCACCCATGCCATGGTAAGGACCTTAGGTTGGCATGCCAAAATGTAAAATCTCTATTAGGCCAAGAAGTGTAGGCCCTTTGATAATATATCCCATTAGAGTTTTTGTAATTGTTATAGTTTTAAATTGTCTAATTGCTGCACTAATATAATGCTATTTTTTTTTATTTCGTTGGTGTCTCAGTCATTTTCATCTTGGTCTATCTCCTCCTCTTCCTCCTCGTATTCCTCTTTGTCTTCAATGCCCTCCTCATCTTCATTATGTTCCTCATTGTCTTTCTTTTCCTCGTCATCTTGCTCCTCTATGTCTTCCTCCTCATGTCTGTCATCCTCATCCCCTTCATTTTTCAGCTCTTCAAGTTCCTCTGTATATTCTTCATCTTCCCTCTTTTGTTCTTCCCCTATGCCTTCCTCATATCCGTCTTCCTCATCTTTTTCCTCTACAAACTCCCCAGTGTATTCTTCATCTTCCCTCTCCTCTTCCGCACTGTCATCTTCTTTCTCATCCTTTTCATCATCATCTTCCTCTTTGTCTTCCTCCTCTTGTTTTTCTTCATCATCTAAATATTCCTCATGCGGGTCTTTGTCTTCCTCCTCTTCCTCAATGTTTTCTTCCTCTGTGCCTTCCTCTTTATCGTCTTCATCTCCAGCTTCTTCCTCTTGATCATATTCATCTTTTTCCTTATCATCTTCCTCTATGCCTTCCACATCCTCCTCTTTGTCATCCTCTTCTTGCTCTGTGTTTTCTTCCTCTGTACCTTCCTCCGTCTCGTCATCATCTTTATATGTGTCTTCTTGAGCTGGTTCGTCTTCATCATCTTCTTCTTCTTCCTCCTCCTCCTCCTCTTTGTCGTCCTTCCCTTGTTCTGTGTTTTCTTCCTCTGTGCTTTCTGTGTCATCATCTTCATCTGTGTCAGCTTCTTTGTCTTCATCTTCCTCTTTTTCCTCATCATCATCATCATCTTCCTCTATGCCTTCCTCATCCTCCTCTTTGTTGTCCTCTTCTTGCTCTATGTTTTCTTCCTCTGTGCCTTCCTCCTTCTCGTCACTATCTTCATCTGCGTCTTCTTCAACTTCTTCGTCTTCATCATCATCATCTTTTTCCTCATCTTCCTCTATGCCTTCCTCATCCTCCTCCTTGTCGTCCTCTTCTTGCTCTGTGTTTTCTTCCTCTGTGCCTTCCTCCGTCTCGTCACTATCTTCATCTGCGTCTTCTTCAGCTTCTTCGTCTTCATCATCATCATCATCTTTTTCCTCATCATCTTCATCTTCCTCTATGCCTTCCTCATCCTCTTCTTTCTCGTCCTCTTCTTGCTCTGTGTTTTCTTCCTCTGTGCCTTCCTCCGTCTCGTCACTATCTTCATCTGTGTCTTCTTCAGCTTCTTTGTCTTCATCATCTTCATCTTTTTCCTCATCATCTTCATCTTCCTCCATTCCTTTCTCATCCTCCTCCTTGTCGTCCTCTTCTTGCTCTGTGTTTTCTTCCTCTGTGCCTTCCTCCGTCTCGTCACTATCTTCACCTCCGTCTTCTTCAGCTTCTTCGTCTTCATCATCATCATCATCTTTTTCCTCATCATCTTCCTTTATGACTTCCTCATCCTCCTCTTTCTCGTCCTCTTCTTGCTCTGTGTTTTCTTCCTCTGTGCCTTCCTCCGTCTCGTCACTATCTTTATCTGTGTCTTCTTCAGCTTCTTCGTCTACATCATCATCATCTTTTTCCTCATCATCTTCCTCTATGCCTTCCTCATCCTCCTCTTTCTCGTCCTCTTCTTGCTGTGTGTTTTCTTCCTCTGTGCCCTCCTCCGTCTCGTCACTATCTTCATCTGTGCTTTCTTCAGCTTCCTCGTCTTCATCTTTTTCCTCATCATCTTCATCTTCCTCTATGCCTTCCTCATCCTCCTCTTTGTCGTCCGCATCCTCTTTTGTATTTTCTTTCTCTTCGCCTTCCTCCTCATCTTCTTCTGTGTCTTCTTCATCGTCTTCGTCATCTTCCTCCTCCTCATTTTCGTAATCATAGTCCTCTTTGTCTTCCTCCTCTTCTTCATCCTCTTTCTTTCTCTTTGTCCTCCTCCTTATCCTCTTCATTTTCTGCTTTGTCTTCCCACTCTTCACCTTCCTCTTTTTCTTCTTCCCTGCATTGTCGCCTAGTACGACATGAACCACATCTATTACGTCTCTTACTACGTTTAAAGCTTCCTCTTCGTCTTCTTTCTTATTATCATCTTCCTCACTGTCTTCAACTTTTTCGTTGTTATCTTTTTCTTGCTCCTCTCCATCTGTGTTTTCGACACTTTCTATCTCCTCATCTTCATCTGTTTCTTCCTCTTCATCCCCCGCATCTTTCTCTCTCTCTGCCTTTCTCCTTTTTTTAATCTTTCTTTTTTTCTTCTCCTTTTTGTTCTCTTCTCTCTTGTTCTTTTTCTTATTTTTGTTTTTCTTCTTTTTCTCGAGCTTTGTTGAGCTATGTTTCCCCTGTTGATTGTGTTTCTCTTCTGTTTCTTTTTGTTCCTCTTCATTTACATCATCTTCTTTTCCTCCTTCATCGTCTAATAAAACGTCGTCCACATTTTTTACGTCTCTTACTGTGTTTAAAGCTTTACCAAAACTAGACAGGTTACTCTTTTTGCCCTTCTTTTTGTTAATTTGTTCTTTTTCGTCAACTCCAATTTTTCCCCATGATTTCAACACATTCTTCTTTTTCTTTTCTTTCTTATTATTTGTGTCTTTTTTGTCGTCTTTGTCTTCTGCCTCTTTCCTCACATATTTAACATCGCCTAGTACGTTTAAAGTCTTACCGAAACCAAGCATATTTCCTTCCTTCGCTTTCTTCTTTCTATTCTTCTTTTCTACTTCTTCATTTTCAATGACAAGAAGCCTCTCTTCCTCCATTGTGCTTGCTCTCTTCATTGGTATCTGCATATGCATTGGCTCTGTTGTATTTATAGTCTGGGATCTTGTTTGCTTCAGGTTGGATATGGCTTGTAAAAGACTTTCTTTTGTCACAAGCGGTTGTCGTGTGTTAGCTCCCAATAATTTTACACGTCGTGTAGTACTGGGCCGTAGTTTTCGTGACAATGCCACTACTGGTAAACTGTCTCTAGTTTGATTATCTTTGTGACAGTTCTGTAATAAATAGCATAAAGATCAAAGTAAGAAAAATTTAAAAGGCGGAATGTCCATTACATTCGTCAATCTTATTTTGAACAATTCTAGGAAACTACTTAATTTATGTCATGTATGTGCATCAGTCAATCAGAAAATAGTACTAGCCTTCAAATTCAATAGCAGTGATGTGAAATATTGAAAAAAATCATCTGGTTCAATATGTTTCCAGTCTTCTCCATATTTGATGCAGACTTCCCTATAAGCCTCCTCCATCTTCTTAAAGCTTTCGCCTACTCTTCTCACAGGTTCTGTAGAGTTGTTATAAAACCTCTTGAAACAGTTAAGGACTTCAAAAAAGTAAATTATGTCCCCTTTTGCATTGGGTTACCTTTATCTTACTTTTTATGGACCTTAATATTAAGGTTTTATTTCTTCTTGAGACCTATTTGTAATGTATAAACCATTCGTACTTTCTACAGGGTGACCCAAAAAATGCAACCCTCCATTTCTTCAATATTTTTCTTAAATGGAGGTGAATTGCTCTGAAATTTGGCACACACTGACTTCATTCAATGTGGGATCCTCTGGCAAAGTTTCAATAATCAGAGTCTTATATTGATAGAGTTATGGTCGTTCCAAAATATGCTCCAAATGTCGTCCATTTCCAATGTTAGGTTTTCGGAAGAATCACATTCCCTTCTTTCTGAACATGTAAACTCAAGAAATAATGTGTTCTGGGATCACAAATTCAAGATGAAGTGCTTCGAAGGCCCCTTCATTCTGTTAAATGCACAGCTTGGGCTGCCAATTTCCAAACATGAAATCATCAGCCCCTTTTGGTTTGAGGTTGATAATGGCAACACTGTTACTGTTAACACACAGCGCAATATTGGCATTCCCAGGAAGTTCTAGGCAGTTCTAGAATGACATACAGGCTTCAATAGACAAGAACAGTGATTCTAGAAGGATGGGGCTACTCCTCACACTTCTTATGATAGCATAGCCTGGCTCACTAGTCATTTCTATGATGAGATTATCTCTCCTAGGATGGAGAACCCATGGTCATCCCACAGTCTTGATCTCTATGCCCCTGACTTCTATATATGGGGTTATTTAAAGGATAATGTGTATGGAAATATTACCCTACTGCAATTGCAGAACTCCAACAAGCATTCCTGCAAAAATTTGAGCCATACCCATGGGGAAGAATGCATCCGTGTTATGAAAAGTTTTCCTTGAACATTGCAAGTTTGTTTTCAGCGAAATTGACGATATATGGAGCATATTTTGAAACAACCATAACTCGATCAATATAAGACTATCGTTATTAAAACTTTGCCAGAGGATCCCACATTGAATGAAGTTCTTGTGTGCCAAATCTCAGAGCAATTTACCTCCATTTAAGAAAAATATTGAAGAAATGGAGGGTTGCATTTTTTTGGGTCACCCTGTATTAGCATGATTAGGTGAAATGATTGCCGAGAGCCTTAGGCCATTATTTCTCATAAGAACTAGTATAAATTGTTTATACTACTCAAAACCCACACTGACTCTTATGAATGGTAAATGATCCATAGTCTAACTAAGCTTAGCTCAATACTACAGGTAGCAACACAAAATAATAAAAATTATTTATTTTAAAGAATGCACGGTCACAAACGAAGAGTACATATTATATTAATTATGTTTATTGCTTTTAAATTATGGAAGCTGTCAAAAACTGTCAATCGTTGTTTGTGCACAACTGGTTTTGGATAGCTTATCAAGTGTCTGATCTTTAAAAACAAAAGGAAAAGAATAAACTCGTCTTTTGTTACAGCTGCACATTCTTTAAGATAAATTACAGCTCGTTCTATTGTGTTACTAAATTTAGTGAGGGAACTCATTCAATACTGGGGCAAAAAGCACTAATATACTGAAGAATTTTTGAAAATTCCTATATATGGTACCTATGAGATAATATATAAAATATATACATGGACATAAATATGTAGTGTTATATATCATTTTAAAGCATATGATATACTCCGTCAGAATCAATACGTTTTTAAGTCCCATTTTATAGGTTGTCATGGTTACAAGATTCCAAAAAAATACATTGGGTTGACAGGCTAACCTACAAGAGTGCCCTATTATACGGATTTGTTCGATACATATGTACATGTACCTGTGTACTAAATGCTCTTTGCTTGAACTATCCCATTGACGTGTTTTTGGTTTGTAATTATGGTTCCGGAAATGCCGCGGGGATGAGCTAACCTTTTTTTGCAAAGGATACTTGTAAGATTTTATTATTCTGCTCTTGCCTGTCCATTTCTGTTCTGACCATATGCATTCCCTTCCTCAAATCATGGACGTCCTGCATTATTGCATGGTAGGATACTGAAATAAGAACCGTGTGTTTGCCATACAACTGCTTTTTAGAGGCATGTCTGTAGCATTGCCTATAAATATATACGTTTTTCGTTCTAAAGCAATAAACATTTATTTAATAAACATTAAATTATCTATAGAAACTGACATTATTTAATTTGGCCTGATATTATTCTATATTATGAGGTTATATAATGATTGATTCCGTATATATCGTGTTTATGGGCAAATTTACGAATTTCATGCCAAATAGAGTCATTTTGGCGGGAAATCAACAAGCGGAGTATATCGTAACAATATCCTCCGCATATTGGGGTTTCCGGAGTATATCGTCACGATATCCTCCGCCCGGAGTATATCGTAACGATATCCTTCGGTTATTCATTTTGCCAATAAATATCAAATTTATTTTTTAATGTTATTATACATTTAGTACACTAAGTGTAGGATAAAACTTATATATATCACATATACCAGGTCGTTCAATAAGTTCACGGAAAAATGCTCTCGTTTAAAAGGTTTTTGACATTTTCCCATGAAATTTTCACATAACGTGTAAAAACACTTTTTATTGATTCTTTTAATATCAGCATAGGGATCCTTGATTTTCACATATTGATATTTTTCTGTAATGATAAATTATGTGACGTAAAAAGTGCCCTGCCTCCCCAAAAGTCAAGTTACCATAGTAACCATTATTTTTAACCAATCAAATAGGAGATGCTGATATTTTAAGAATAGTTACGATTTTTTACACATTGTGTAAACATTTCATGAGAAAATATCAAAAATCCTTGAAATTATAGCACTTTCCGTGAACTTATTGAACGACCTGGAAAATGTCTTCACTATTTTGTTTAAGCTCACCTCCTCTTCCCACATTGATGATAAGTTCTTTATCAGTATTCAGAAGCTCGGTGTATTTGGTCGCGATCAGCTGAGCGATATGGTGTAATACAGTGACAGATCTGTCTCGAGGGGATGTTACTTCCAACAACTGACAAAGAGGAATTTCACCATTGTAAGTTTTCAAGTATTGTAAGATAAAAAAAGAAAAAAATTATATTTTTTCTGTAGCTTCCATTCTTCATTTTTATTCGGCCAAATTTGGCATATGCGATATTAGATATACATACACGTCGCACGAAACTGGGGACAATTAGCATTATGGTGTCAAAATACCTAAACAAAACAATGAGCAGTATAGGGCCACGCGGTACTAACTTCGACCGTTAATTTGAATTTTTGACCTACCAGATGTTTGAAAATCAAGGATTGCGAGTCTCATACTGCACTGTTTTTCTTCAAACTTGTTCCATTCAAAGCATAACAAAAATGCCTTTCTGTTGGTACATTATTCTGCTATACAGAGACCCTACTTTCAGCGGCATTTGGGTCCCTAGCTGTGAGAAGGGCTTCTCATTGCTGGGGACCAAAACGCTGCTAAAACGAGGGGACTTTTTACAATCGAGCAATGCACCAACAGAAAGGCAATTTTGTTTTGCTTTGAATGGAACACGTTTGAAGAAAAAAACCCTGGCGACGGCCATGCGCGTGAGGGCACAAACCGCCTTACAACGTCAAAAACGACGAGCGTTACATTTTATCAAGTTTAGTCAACCTAGAAACAAAATACTTTATCCTTATCTAATCATGATTAAATTCACAGGGTAGCAAGATCTCGAGGACAATATTTCTAAAATGTTTTTGCATTTCGAAAAACGGCCAGGAAACATTTGGGGCGTTAGTAATGATTGATATGTAAAAATCAGCTCTTATGATTTGCAAAATAAACAAACCGGTTATTGTTTTGTAAATTTCGCCGTGACAATATTGTGCAGTTAATTCTTTTTTTTCAAATCAGACCTAAATAAGAAGGTAAAATGAGGGTAAACTTTTGCTCGTCCCTTTTGTCTTCAATCCCTTACACAATTTCGAAAATTTTAAGAGCATCCATTTAAAACAATTTAAACGGAGCCGTTACGCAATTGTGACGTCATAAATTCACATGTCCCATTGAATAAAATGTTAAATTTTAGTGGGATTCTGATCAGTATTTAAAAGTTATCCCTATTTCAACGAACCGTGCAAGCGTGAAGTGTTACGTCTTACTGCGTATTTGACGATGTCGGGGTATTTCAACTTTAAAAATATGGTAGATCCCATCAAACTTTTCAAGATAAAATAATTTCACTGAAATGCGAATAAAAAATACTTCAATATGATATAAAACAAACAGTTAGCTTTTTAAATAAGGCAGAGATTATCACTTAAAGCTGAGATAAGCCCGTGTTTCCCGAATTGTCCCCAGCCCAGGTCCAGTGCACGTCATAACAGTATAACATTACAAATATTTTTTTATATGATATAATGTAATATACTATATATCATAAAAGTATGAAGCCTAGCATGATATAATATTATACATTACGTACTTTCGGCAAGGAATCCAGTTTGAATCCGCTGGCATATCCCCTCTTACTGCTGTTCATGTAGTTGCCAAACGCAAGGATAATCTACAAATGGAAAGAGATTATATAAAAATTGCAAGGAAAATATAAAGGAAAAGCTACAAAAATAGTCTGCTCTTGTGCCTATAAAAATTCAAGTTTTTCCTGGAATTTTGATTTCAAGTTTTATCGAAAAAAATTAAAATGGTCGCCATATGATTTACCACGGACTATTTCAGGTCCGTATATTTACTTATCTTGCCCAAAAACCTAACCACACGATGGCATAAGTCTGTTTTTGTATCTGTAAAAATTTTAAGACGAACAAATAAGCAAGAATTTTGACGATAAAATTTATTTATCGTTTTCTCAGGCGCACAAACGCACGCCTATCATCGGCTCATGACGAAAACTACGTATCACTTTTTCAAACTGCGATAAAAATCTTACTTACCTGAAACAATTTGACAAGTTTCCTACTTTTATAGACAGAAGCAGATCCTACTGTCACTGCCTCAATTTGCTACAACACAAACCAGCTAAAGATTTAAAATGAAGTTAGTACCAAATATATAAAGGTATACAAATACAAAGGAAAATGAAGGATATTAGCTTTAAATGTTATGATATTTTGTGTTTTGGTAAGGTTCCCAAACATCCCCGAGTCCAGGCTAGTTCTGTTTTATCACGTGATTGTATTGATGAGGAATATCTTACTGATGTTACTGTGGTTATCAGCTCCTCAAACTTTCCCATAAATCCCATTACTCCCAGTTTAGACTCCAGCCTCTCAATTTTGCTCATCTATAAATAACATGGATTGTTTTTGAATGTGAGGAATGTTGAACATTGCATGATATATCATTATTTGGAATGGTGGAATCGTTTATTCATTTGTCCTTTCCCATTTACATTTGACATATAAAATACGTTAAACAGCATAGTACTCGTATAATGGATATTTGTAACAGAGAACACAACATTTGATGGAATTACGCCATAAAATACATGAAATAATAGATCACCTATCCCTGCTTACTTCATGAATGTAAAGTTCTGCTTCACCAAACTTTGCATAGTCTTTACTATGTCTCACCAAAGCTTTACGCTCTTCCTGTGTTGGTACATATTTCAATAACAGTTCAGCACAATCGCCAGAAATCTTTTGGATGTCACATTTATCCAAATACTCCGCAATTCTCTCAAGTGGGAACTCAATGATTCTTCTTGTTATAACTGAAATGAACAAAGGTTCTTCAATATGTCATATTGTAAACAGAATCATGTATGGTAGATTTAACGGTTCATTTACATTTGTATCGGGACTTTTTTGGCTCGATTGTGTCAATTCATAATCATTTGACTATTCAGTGGATTTAGTAATTCATCATTCCATATATTTGAAATTACTTTAGTATCTTAAGCATTTTCATATATGATTTTTGACAAAACGTGTCGTGTATTATTTCTTTACATTGATGTTTGTAATGCATATTTCTTACGTAGATTCCTTGCTCTGTCAGTTTCCACAAATGTTATATTTCCTGAATTTCTCTTGAGGACTGGAAAAGACATGGTAGAGTTAAATACTAGTTTGTAAATACACGTTCCGAACAGTCGAACAGCTAGCCTCCGTATTTCAATTGCCTGCGTAGTTTGTGGTGTCCTTCCGCGGAGAAATAGTAGTTCCTTACTGGATTTTAATACTACCAATTGACTTAGAGGGCATTGATGTTCGGCTGTTAAAAGTATTACATCATACAGTGCAAAATCATTGGAGCGTGTTCACGTTCCAAAAATCATAGAATAATTCATATATATTGAAGTCATCACAACACATGATAAAGAACACAAATAATTTCCAAAAGTTGCAGATCCAAGTACATAAAGACATTAAAGAAGACAGACAAACCAAAGAGAGACCAATGAAGTTCATGTACATGTATTGGAATTGCAATATCTTTGACCTGATATTCCTTCTGGATCACCATGGAAACATGTTCAGCCATATGATCTTCTTTCAATCCATTCAGTTAATGCAAGTTTTCGATCATTATAGTATGATTAGTCGAAGCGTAGAGACAATGGTACACCTTACCTTGGTCTCTCTTAGCTTTTGAAATGCTACTTAATTCAGCGATTTGAAACTCCGCTTCAAACTCATCAAAGTTAACCTCCTCAAGGATCTGTTCATCTGTATGTTTCTGAAACAGTTATGTTGTATGAATCGAAAATGATACTAAAGAAGCCCTACTACAGTGTGTCCCAAAAAAAAGGAAACCGGCAATAGATTGCTTATTTCTCAAATATGAATAATAATAGGAAAATTTCACAGCTACCATTTGATAGGTTATGATGTCCTTTTTCTTATGATACCATAGGTGTTTATTTTTCTTCGTGGATGACTGAGTTCTAAGAGATTTAAGTGACCATGTCAGAAATTGGTTTGTGCCACTTTTTCTGTCATGAATGGCTGATCAATGAGGGATTAAAATGGCTATGCAAGACCATGTCCTATTCGAAATACACATTTATGAACAAGCATTCAACATAGCAAGTTCATGCAGCTGACCCAAGATCAAAGAGTATTCGTAGTACGTGAGTGGCTCAGAAGTGGGAGCCTTCAGCAGGTTGCTGATCAGTTTAGAGTACGCTTCCCAGATAGAAATGTACCTGCTAAGTAGACAATCTGGAAGAATATCAAGAAGTATCAGAGAGAAGGAACAAGTCTCAATCAAGGGTAAATTCTTCACAACACCACCAAGAGACGTTGATGATCTAAGGGCCAGGATTGTCGCAGCAGTGGAGGATCTAAGGGGACAGAGAGACATCATCAGGGATGCAATACTTGCGATGAGATCAAGGGCAGACATTTGCATTGAAAGGAATGGGGGTCATGTTGAAGGACACTGGGGTTAAAACAACTTTGAATGGACATTGGGATTTAAAAGGGGTGTTAAATATGATATGCGTAATCTTAAGTGGAATAAATGAGTAAAAGAGTGATATCCTGATGTTTGTTGTTACTTATCACTTTGTTATGATGGTGAAATTGACTTGGCTGAAAGTGGTACAAACTCATTTCTGACATGGTCACTTAAATCCCTTATAACTCAATCATCCGTGAAGGAAAATAGACAACTTTGGTATCATAAGAAAGAGGACATCATAATCTATCAGATGGACGCTGTGAAATTTTCCTATCATTATTCATATATGAGAAATAAGCAATCTATTGCTGGTTTCCTTTTTTTTGGGACACCCTGTATATGTGAATATATACCACATGTTGCGAGCATTCAATGATATAGAGAGAACAATGCCTCAAATAGGTTTTCGTTGTCTCATCCCGTTCCATAAGGACTATAGTTTATTTAATAAACAACTATAGTCCTTAGAACGTCCCAATCTTTTGTATGTATTATTACAACATGGGGGAATAATCCACACCTCTTGCACTTTAAATACCTCCCTCAATGAATATTTTAGGATTCCTTTTCTGTTGTTGAATCCCCAATCGTATCGGTTTATTACGGAAAGCGATAGGGGACATGCGCATAATTCAAAATCGAATGGAGTTTTAACATGGGAGTGATATCACACACCGCGGCCCAGTCAGATAGATTTCATCTCGCACTGAATGAATTACAGGGGCCGCGTTGTGCAAAGTTAATTAATACGGAAAGCGATAGGGGACATGCGCATAATTCAAAATCGAATGGAGTTTTAACATGGGAGTGATATCACACACTGCGGCCCAGTCAGATAGATTTCATCGCGCACTTAATGAATTACAGGGGCCGCGTTGTGCAAAGTTAATTAAAATAAAGTGCGCAGATATTCCGGCATTCAGTGCGCGATGAAAAAATGATTATCTGTGAATAAATAACGAATAAAAATTCGTGGCACCACGAATTTGATTTTTTTCGAAAGACTGCGGAGTGAACCAGCGAAATGACAATTTTGGATAATATTGATGGCTCTAACGAGGAGAACTTTGAGATTTCCCGATTCTAGCGCGCAGCACATCCAGGACATGCGCACTTTTATCAGATTCGATTCTAATATGGTTTCAAAGATAATGTTCATTAAAAGAGGGCGTATGCATACAGATTACACGTGGCGTTGTGTTGAAGTGACCCTTGCAAAGGGTTCCATTGAAAATATATTATTTTGGGCCATTTCATATCTTTTAATTGATATTGTATAAAATATTTTCAATGTTTGAAAATTATAATCTTATAAATAACATTTAATGTGATAAAGCTATAACGAAATGGTAGATACGGAATATGATGCAATACAATGCAGTGCAATATGATGTTATACAATGCAGTGCAATATGATGCAATACAATGTGGTGCAATATGATGTTATACAATACGGTGCAATATGATGCAATACAATGCAGAGCAATATGATGCAATACAATGCAGTGCAATATGATGCAATAGAATGTAGTGTAATATGATGCAATACAAAGCAGTGTTATATGATGCAAAAAATGCAGTGCAATATGATACAATACAATGTAGTGCAATATAATACAATAAAATGCAGTGCAATACGATGCAATACAATACAGTGCAATATAATGCAATACAATGCAGTGCAATACAATGCAAAACAATGCCGTGCAGTGCAATACAATGTAGTTTATTTCAATACAATGCAGTGCAATACAATGTGGTACAGTGCAATACAATGCAGTGCAATACAATACAGTGCAATATAATGCAATGCAGTGCAATACAATATGGTGCAGTGCAATATATTGCTGTGCAATACAAAACAATGCAGTGTAATACAATACAGTGCAACACAATGTGGTACAGTGCAATACAATGCAGTGCAATACAATACATCGCAGTTCAATACAGTGCAATACAATGTAGTGCAATGCAGTGCAATAAAATGCAATACAGTTACAATGTAGTTCATTTCAATACAATGCAGTGCAATACAATGTGGTACAGTGCAATACAATGCAGTGCAATACAATACATCGCAGTTCAATACAGTGCAGTGCAATACAATACAGTGCAATACAATACATCGCAGTTCAGTGCAGTGCAATACAATACAGTGCAACACAATACATCGCAGTTCAATACAGTGCAATACAATGTAGTGCAATAAAATACAATACAGTGCAATTCAATAAAATGCAATACAATACAGTGCAATACAAAACAATGCTGTGCAATAGAATACAGTACACTGCAGTACAATACAATGCAGTGCAATAAAATACAATGCAGTGTAATAAAATGCAGTGTAATGCAAGACAATGCAATACAATACTGTGCAATACAATACAGTGCAATATAATACAATGCCGTGCACTGCAATGCAATGCAATACAACATGGTGCAGTGCAATATATTGCAGTGCAATTCAAAACAATGCAGTGTAATACAATGCAGTGCAACACAATGTGGTACAGTGCAATACATTATAATGCAGTGCAATACAATATAATGCAGCGCAATACAATGTAGTACACTGCAGTACAATACAATGCAGTGCAATAAAATACAATGCAGTGCAATATAATATAATACAGTGCAATACAGTACAATATAATGCAATAGAATACAATGCAGTGCAATACAATACAATGCAGCGCAATACAATAAAATGCAGTACAATACAATACAATGATGTGCTATACAATACAATACAATACAATGCAATGAAATGCAATTCAATGCTATGAATGTACACCTTCTACAGTCAAATAAACACAGATAAAATTGTAATAGTATGTTAGTGTATGGAGTTTGAATTGGGTGGGGGATACAATTACCAGTCTGCTGATTGATGACTTAATAACTTAAAAAAGATCTCCTAGCTTTTAACAGGTGGCACTTATGTCTACCTTATGTTCTTAAACAATCTCGTCTAAGAATACAGACCCGTATCCTGGATTAACCTGGGGGAGTGGTTTTACCAAGGGGGAGATTTTGCCAAGAGGGGGGAGCTTTTTGACAGTTATGGCAAAAAAATCATGCGAAAAGTGCTAAGAATGGTGAAAAACTGAATGATTTTGAACGAATATTTGGCAAGGGGGAGGGGGGTGAGGCCCCCTGGCTACGGCCATGGAATACATATAGGAACTTTCCTTCTCCCAGAAGAAATGGTATACAGGTATTACATCAATCATTCTGGTATTTTGTATACGAAGGTCTGTAGTTACTTTATTGAAAGATGGCAGTGTACACTGTGTACTACCATTTTGAGGTCAGTTTGACTTTATAATTCTGCGCACTATAATCTGTAATTCTCATAGATATTCTCTCTAGAGGCATCACTGTGATCCAAAATTACAATTTCGCAGGTCAAGTCTGCAGTCTTTCGAAAAAAGTTGAATTCGTTGTGCTACCGTTTCTTGTTGGGCATTTATTAACAGAAAACTATAATTACATCGCGCCAGCATATACAAGCTTCAGCGCAATATTTTGAGTGTGTTAATAAATAAAGTGCGTAGTTTATTACGGAAAGCGAAAGGGGATATACCGCAGAATTTAAAATTCAATGGAGTTTTAACATGGGATTAATATCACACACCGTGGCCCAGTCAGATATATTTCTGCGCACTTTATTTATTTAATTCACTTTGCACAACGCTCCCCCTGTAATTCATTCAGTGCGCAATTAAAAATTATTTATGAGTGATATCGCACACCGCGGCCCAGTAAGATCGAGCTGCGCACTTTATTTATTAACACACTGAAAATATCGCGCTGAAGCTTGTATATGCTGGCGCGATGTAATTATAGTTTTCTGTTAATAAATGCCCAACAAGAAACGGTAGCACAACAAATTCAACTTTTTTCGAAAGACTGCAGACCTGACCTGCGAAATTGTAATTTTGGATCACAGTGATGCCTCTAGAGAGGATATCTATGAGAATTACAGATTATAGTGCGCAGAATTATAAAGTCAAACTGACCTCAAAATGGTAGTTCACAGTGTACACTGCCATCTTTCAATAAAGTAACTACAGACCTTCGTATACAAAATACCAGAATGATTGATGTAATACCTGTATACCATTTCTTCTGGGAGAAGGAAAGTTCCTATATGTATTCCATGGCCGTAGACAGAGGGCCTCACCCCCCTACCCCTTGCCAAATATTCGTTCAAAATCATGCAGTTTTTCACCATTCTTAGCACTTTTCGCATGATTTTTTTGCCATAACTGTCAAAAAGCTCCCCCCCCCCCCTCTTGGCAAAATCTCCCCCTTGGTAAAACCACTCCACCAGGTTAATCCAGGATACGGGTCTGTATTCTTAGACGAGATTGTTCAAGAACATAAGGTAGACATAAGTGCCACCTGTTAAAAGCTAGGAGATCTTTTCTAAGTTATTAAGTCATCAATCAGCAGACTGGTAATTGTATCCCCCACCCACTTCAAACTCCATACACTAACATACTATTACAATTTTATCTGTGTTTATTTGACTGTAGAAGGTGTACATTCATAGCATTGAATTGCATTTCATTGCATTGTATTGTATTGTATAGCACATCATTGTATTGTATTGTACTGCATTTTATTGTATTTCACTGCATTGTATTGTATTGCACTGCATTGTATTCTATTGCATTATATTGTACTGTATTGCACTGTATTATATTATATTGCACTGCATTGTACTTTATTGCACTGCATTGTATTGTACTGCAGTGTACTACATTGTATTGCACTGCATTGTATTGTATTGCACTGCATTATAATGTATTGCACTGTACCACATTGTGTTGCACTGCATTGAATTACACTGCATTGTTTTGAATTGCCCTGCAATATATTGCACTGCACCATATTGTATTGCATTGCATTGCAGTGCACTGCATTGTATTATATTGCACTGTTTTGTATAGCACAGTATTGTATTGCATTGTCTTGAATTACACTGCATTTCATTACACTGCATTGTATTTTATTGCACTGCATTGTATTGTACTGCAGTGTACTGTATTCTATTGCACAGTATTTTTTGGTATTGCACTGTATTGTATTGCATTGCACTGTATTGTATTTTATTGCACTGCATTGCACTACATTGTATTGCACTGTATTGAACTGCGATGTATTGTATTGCACTGTATTGTATTGCACTGCGATGTATTGTATTGCACTGTATTGTATTGCAATGCACTGTATTGAACTGCGATGTATTGTATTGCACTGCATTGTATTGCACTGTACCACATTGTGTCGCACTGTATTGTATTACACTACATTGCTTTGTATTGCACAGCAATATATTGCACTGCACCATATTGTATTGCACTGCATTGCAATGGACTGCATTGTATTATATTGCACTGTATTGTATTGCACAGTATTGTATTGCATTGTCTTGATTTACACTGCATTTTATTACACTGCATTGTATTTTATTGCAGTGTAATGTATTGTATTGCACAGCATTGTATGTATTGCACTGTGTTGTATTGCATTGTATTGAATTGCACTGTATTGTATTTTATTGCACTGCATTGCACTACATTGTATTGCACTGTATTGAACTGCAATGTATTGTATTGCACTGCATTGTATTGCACTGTACCACATTGTATTGCACTGCATTGTATTGAAATGAACTACATTGTATTGCACTGCACGGCATTGTATTGCATTATATTGCACTGTATTGTATTGCATCGTATTGCACTGCATTTTATTGTATTATATTGCACTACATTGTATTGTATCATATTGCACTGCATTTTTTTGCATAATATAACACTGCTTTGTATTGCATCATATTACACTACATTGTATTGCATCATATTGCACTGCATTGTATTGCATCATATTGCTCTGCATTGTATTGCATCATATTGCACCGCATTGTATTACATCATATTGCACCACATTGTATTGCATCATATTGCACTACATTGTATAACATCATATTGCACTGCATTGTATTGCATCATATTCCGTATTTACCATTTCGTTACAGTTTTATTACATAAAATGTTATTTATAAGATTATAATTTTCAAACATTGAAAATATTTTATACAATATCAATTAAAAGATATGAAATGGCCCAAAATAATATATTTTCAATGGAACCCTTTGCAAGGGTCACTTCAACATAACGCCACGTGTAATCTGTATGCATACGCCCTCTTTTAATGAACATTATCTTTGAAACCATATTAGAATCGAATCTGATAAAAGTGCGCATGTCCTGGATGTGCTGCGCGCTAGAATCGGGAAATCTCAAAGTTCTCCTCGTTAGAGCCATCAATATTATCCAAAATTGTCATTTCGCTGGTTCACTCCGCAGTCTTTCGAAAAAAATCAAATTCGTGGTGCCACGAATTTTTATTCGTTTTTTATTCACAGATAATCATTTTTTCATCGCGCACTGAATGCCGGAATTTCTGCGCACTTTATTTTAATTAACTTTGCACAACGCGGCCCCTGTAATTCATTCAGTGCGCGATGAAATCTATCTGACTGGGCCGCGGTGTGTGATATCACTCCCATGTTAAAACTCCATTCGATTTTGAATTATGCGCATGTCCCCTATCGCTTTCCGTAGTTTATCGGCATAACAAAGAAAGTTTCGTTTTTAATCCCAATTTTTGCGTGTTAAAATTCCTTCATACATAAGTACACCCTGGCTCTGCATCACCGGTCATCTTGAAAAGTGGCGCAATCTCTCGATGAATAAAGAAAATGTCCTCGTTCTGCCGTCTAACCCAGACGACTGGAGATTCAACTATAGCTACATAAAAAATGCTAAAATACTCAGAAATTATCGAGGTAGATATTTTAAGTGTATGAGGCGTGAATTGTTCTCCCATAATGTAATCGTACAGGCAAACGATTGAGACGTTCTCAGGACCATAGTCCTGGCACGGGATAAGGTTTGCCTATTCCATAGCAAAGTGATTTTAAGCAATTCGAGAAATGTTACCTAAGAAAAAGTTTACCTTAAACATCGTATTACCAGGATGGTAAATAGGGCTCCAGTTTAGCATCGGGAGATTAACTTTAGGATTAATGACCTTAGTACTGTTCGACGGTGGTGGGACTATGGGAGGAACAGGAGGTGGTTCTGAAATAGTGCAACGTTGGAACAGGCTTAACCATTTCTTGTTGAAGCACATAGTTCTTTGTTAAATGTTTGCTATTTCATGAGGTCATGTGAAGCTCAAGCAATGTCTAGATGTAAGATGTATGATCAATAATTCAATAAACAGGTTCTTAGAGAATTCTCTCGTATATGGATTGATAGCACCTACGTAAAAAACGTTTGCGAGAAAGAGTGCCAGCATTTGAGAGAGTCTCTGATGATTCACCAGTGCCCTCGTGTTCTATATCAATGTAAATTGGTTTCATCGCATTATCTACCAGTTCCTTGACTTCTCGTTGTTTCTGACCACCGGCTTTCTCATCGTATAGTTTCTGAAATGTTGATACCTTCCTTGATATTCATCATATTATTATAACTATCAATCATAGACTAGGATTTAGACGTTGATAATTACTGAAATATCTTATACGAGAGTTTTTGTATACATGAAGACATCCTTGGATATTGATATCCCCGAAGATGTTTCTTCATATTGACATACCTTTGAAGCCATACCTTTAGACGTATTCTCTATACTGACAGTAGCTACCTGTAGCTACTCCAATATATCGACATACCTGTAGACGTTCCACTGTGCTTTGAAGTTCTGATGCTCTGTTTTGCCATTTGGCGTTCTTTTGTGTTACCTACAACATGTTTGTTATATCATTTATTTGATATAAATCTGTTTTGCCATTTGACATTCTTTTGTGTTACCTTGAACATGACTGTTATATCTTTTATTTATTTATTTATTTATTTATATTATACACATTTTCATTAGTCGCTAACTTATATAGCCTGGGTGTGAGACGTTCTTTCTGCGTAGTTTGTGATATTTGTAAGAAAGAGTTTTCCCAACGACATGTCGTTCACTTAGATGTTTGTTGTTGTTGTACGTTTTCTCACTTACCTCCTTATTAGATTTCTCTATCGTTGCGATCTTTTTTTCTGCTGTCTTTAGTTTCTTCTGCAGCAGATTTACTTCATCTCTTAGAAGTTTGCTTCTGCCTTCCATAGTCATCAGATCAACTTGGATCGTGTCTACATTCATATAATGCTTCTTCCATTGATCAATTTCAGTTTGAAGTGCATCAAATTCATACCCATCTCCTATTGCATTCTGGGATAAATGATACATCAAGAATTATGAAATTCTTTTGTCAATTTTATTGTTGAGCGAAAAGTGTTAGTGTAGAACGCTAAAATACATCGTATCAAGAATAATGTGAATATTGGATAAAAAACAGTATACCCAATATGTTGAACCAATTCGTCAGTCAAAATGATCATCGTTCAATCAGACATGTGTTATCTAACCTTTTGTAAGGCATCTACGTCAAATCCTGCATGTGTCATCTCTTGTTGCAGGAATATTATGGCATTTGCTCCCTCTGTCATAGATACCAACTTATTCAAAAACTTCATACATTCAGTCTGTAAAGAGACATCATTATGATTGTATGGTTGAAGGGTAGCTTGTGGTTCGTTGGTGTCCTGCGTTTATTATTATGGCGGCTTGCAGGGAAATGTAATGTCTCCCAGCTAGAAGATATTATAGTGATATGACAAGGAAAAGCTGTCTAGAAAGGACAAGCTCATTATGACATTCAATTTGGACAATGGGTACTAGATATAGTAGATGGGTGTATACCTGAAAAGGGACATGGACCAAGTCCCTGTTGTGTAGCAATCCAATTAGCAGTTTGAATCTAAATGGTTCGCAGTACTCTGCTTTCATTTTTGTCATGGCGTCCAGGACCACATCGTAACCTTCCTTTGAGTCACAAAACATTGTAAGCAGCTGGAAAAGTATCACCGTGGAATTTTAAAAGAATATTTGACATTTTCAGAATGTAATAAATTATATTATTACCACCTTGCCGGGCCAGTTCTTGGGGTTTTAGTGCTAGTTTAGAAGGCGATTATTTTACTATATCGACCTGAGAAATGTGTGACGTCATAGTGGTGGTCAATATGGACCGGTCTAGAATATATTCTGGACCGGCAATTTTCCCCGGGAAATTAGATATCGTTCAATGCGTAAGATTTTCTTGCTGTTTCAGTCCTGGTCGTTAACGGTGGTAATAATACTAATAACGTCATTTCTGCGAGCGATATAGTGAAATATTGGACCTTGGGCCTTCGGCCCTTGGTCCAATATTTCACTTTATTATGCACCTCATTAAAATACTCAAATCTGATTGGTTAAGAGCTGCGGGGTCTATTGCCATACGTGGCAGCAAGATCTCGTTCTATCCAGTATTGAAGCAACGAGATCTCCAACCATCCCGTATACCAGAATACCTATCCTCGGAAAAATACTTTCGACGAGTCCAATTGTCGATGACGTCATTTTCTTAGAATCTCTTCCATGTTGAATTTGAGATGAATGCGAGGGAGAAAAGATTTGCGTGATATGAGAGAAGGGGATTTCTATTCAATTTCCTGTGATTAACTGACAAAAGGTAGGTGGCGCTAGATACGGGATCGGCCAAACTTATTATATATGGAGGGAATACGTAAGAATATGGCCAAATGAGAGAATAAATGGAATTTTTGATTGTCGAACACCAGGGTTTTGAGGGGAGGTGCATAATAAAATAAATACTGGATGACCATGAGGTGGATATGCCAGAATACCTATCCTCCGAAAAGAAATACTAGGCTCAGCTTCGCTTCGCCTAGTATTTTTTCCTCGGATAGGTATTCTGGCATATCCACCTCATGGTCATCCAGTATTTGTTTAATATCGCCCTAAGAAATGACGGTATTGTACTATTACTGGTTATCCCGTTCCAGGACTTTGGTCCTGTACGGAGCCCATACATTTGCCTGTACGATTACAACTTGGGAGAATTATCTACGCCCCTTCCACTTAAGAAACCTACCTCAATGCATTCTAGAACTCAAAATGTAACTTCTAATATATTGGAACCGCCGATTGTCTGGGTTAGTTGGCAGAACGAGGTCTTTTTGTTTCTTATGGCTCTTTTGGTCGAAGTTCGATTAAGATGGCGGTTATAACGGAATTTCCCGAACTCTTCCGTAATAGCACGAACTTGGTTTTTCGTTACGTCACTTCCGTGTAAAATGGATTTGTTTCGGGTAAGAGGGAATTTCGAAAATTTCGGACAATATTTTCAATATTTACTGCCATGTCGACATCCTATGCTCTTAACTGTATACCGAATGGTTAAACAATGTTTCTTACCGGAAACAAATCCATTTTACATGGAAGTGAAGTAACGAAAAACCAAAAGAGCCATAAGAAACAAAAAGACCTCGTTCTGCCAACTAACCCAGACAATCGGCGGTTCCAATATATTAGAAGTTACATTTTGAGTTCTAGAATGCATTGAGGTAGGTTTCTTAAGTGGAAGGGGCGTAGATAATTCTCCCAAGTTGTAATCGTACAGGCAAATGTATGGGCTCCGTACAGGACCATAGTCCGGGAACAGGATAAATTACTGGTTCTTAGTAAGAACTCTCATGTGGTGACATTGTACTATTACAATTATTTTGTCAAAAAGTAACACGATGTTGTAATGGTGATTACGACATGTTCAACGATCTCCTATTTTCCATTTAATGAAATGTATATATTTACAGCATGTTAAATTCTGAAAAGCTGAAACAATATGATAATTATTATCAAAGGTATATATTGTTGCCTGACCTGTATTGCCACAGTTTTTTCTTTAGTCAGATTGCTGAACAGACAATTAGTTATAGCTGCAACTGCACCATTGGCGCGAATTACCTTTTGCGAACCACCCTGTAACAATATACACTGCTCTAGATCTACGTATAATCCGATAATGTATCACCAAATTTGTTAGGAAAACAGTGATATAATGTATGTTTTTATTTTATTGCATATTTTATTTAAAAAATAATAAAAATTAATAAATATATACAAGTGTGAATATTGAAAATTAATGAAAATGTCAAATGATTTAGCCCGCCCCAAATACATGTACAATCCTCCGTAAATCTGTCGCCCGTTTGTATTTTAATTCTGCCGATTTATTTCAAAAGGTCAGAAGGGAACTACCGATGTTAGATAATTTAAAGTGTGTGTGCCAAAAACTTACCTTGACTTTACACGCAAACTTGATGCAGAGGAGACAGTTTAGCTCTTCGGTCTGAAAATCAATTCAGATAGTAAAAAGTGGTAAAAATTGACCCGGTGTAAAAGAAATTATGGTCCCCTGGGGATAATGGTCCCTTTTCCTTACGGCCCTTACTGGCCCTGACTGTGTATAAATAATAAGGAAAATAATTGTAATTAGGTCACCATATAAATCAATAGAGAGTAGGACCAAAAGTTGATAGGACCACCTACCCTTTTACACCTGCCTAGCCATGATAGTACCTGGAGTACATGTATGTGTGTGTATTTTTGTCCTGAAAACTCAGATGGGGACTAAAGACCGGATACTTGTTCCAAATGTATAATATAACATTTATGTTTTATGTTTTGTTAATATTTTATTCATTGTTTTTTGTTTTAATCGGAATGGTGGTATTTCTCATACAACCTACATTATGTAGTATTGCTCGATAATTCAAAAGGTCTGCATGTAGATATGGAGCAATACTGTCATTTTCATTTGTATTTCTACTTCAAAAAACATAGATTTGTTTTTAAACTTAAGAGATATCATTGAAATAACATTGAAATAAATCAGTTCTACTTCTTGACAGGCACGTAACATGACTTTCCTCACCTTTCGTTCAAATGATTATTTATTAATAGCTATATTATATCCAATCGTCAAATAAATAAATACTTTAGATTCTTTAGATTGTAATTTATATTTTGATGTTTCAAAGTGTGGTGATATAGTTGACATATTGGTTATATTGCCTGAACTTTGCTCGATCACTTTGACCTAATGTCGAAATTTAGAAAAAATATCGAAAGCCATTTGCATTAGGTATCGGTATGTCTGACCCGATCCACAAAGTATCGAATACGATGCGTTTTTGTTATAGCTATGAATCATTTTGTGTTGATATGATAATTTTGTATTTTACAAATTTTCGAATCTGTTTTACATAATATACACCATGAGCGTCCCAAGGAGTAGATAGTTCTTTCCACCGAGTCCCGGTCACATGAACGAAATCTCACGGGGTTGGCTCAAAAGGAGGGGCGCCAATTGCACCCAACGTACCCCTCCCCCTGCGGACACCCGTGTACACTCTAACATGTACTTACGTACATTCTAAAAATTGGAAAAGGTGAACCCAAGATTTGAAATATTAATCTTTACGCTGGACTGGTGTCCTTTGAAATTTGTTTAAGCATTTATTCAAATCGTATTTGCAATGACTATAACATTCCTTGAAATTTCTCACATCTGCCATTATACAGGCATAATACTACTAGGCTGCTATATTATGTAGTGACAATATTACGCCCGGTGATCGTACAAAATGAATGGAGGGGGAGTAGGCGATTTCTGCAAGAAAACTCAACAAATTTGGAAGATTTATTTTTTCAAGAGAAAATTTACAATTGCCAAATGAATAGGCGCAGTACATGGAAAAATATATTAGTTCTTCAAGTAGTCAATGTTTTTGCTATAAATCAGGCAACAATGGTCTACACGACCTGTAATAAATAGGTATAAGAGACGTTATTATCACAATACTAATGACATTGCTCACTTTTTAAAGTTAGATTCCACGCATTATACAAAAAATAATCGAAATAAATTAATATTGGATGGAGGGGGGGGGGAGTGGATGGAGGGGGGAGTAACTTGTATATAAGACATGATAAGACATGCTACTTGAATTCATTCTTATAACTCCAAATTTTCCCATTTTTCATTCTCCAGAGATAAATAATCCAGTTTCTTACTGGGGTACTGAGTTTAGTTTTTTCAAATACACGAGTTCTTGTGAATTTGTTCCATCGTAAACACATACAACTTTCCATGCTAGCCGAACATAATAATTCACATAATATCTGTGAATATCAGGACAAATGGTTAATATTTACCTCAAAACTTTGAACACAAATAAAGAATTCTTTGGAAAGTGCAAATAGTATACACAACACACTTTGCTTGTTCATATAGTGACACCTAAGTCTGGTAAATACGTTACGGAAACGGATCCGTTGAGCTAAAAAACGTTTTGCGAAACCTCTCTAATAAATTCAATATTATTCGTTAAGTTGTAATATATTTCAATAATACGTACCGAAGCTCTTTTCATGTTGCTGCTTACTGAGAGCGAATCGAGAGAGGTGTCCTGTGTGAGCACATTTAACACATCAGCTAATATCGCAATACCATCATTTGGGGAAAATATAAACTCTTGGATGAAGCTAAATAAAAATTAAACAAATGCCGATAATAGAATAAAATAATCTCTTCAAGTCATGTAACATTACGAACATATATATCAACCAAAACTGTATGGAAAATGTATTCAAAAATTACATTACATGCAATTTAAAATGTAACTCCCAATCAAAAAATCATATAAAGTAGACCTCGCCTAAGTACCAAATGGGGGGGGGGGGGGTCCAACCGGAAGTTATACCCTACGACGATTCAAATGATCTTGACTAATATGGCATTATTTTTGCTTCTTTATTCATTAAATTCAAATATATTCGATATATGAAACATTCATATTCGCTAAATCATTTTCCATTCGGTAAAAACGTTTATATGTTTGTTACAGCAAATTAAGTTTTCAAAATAGCCAATCACTTAATACTATGTGCATTAAATTACATATTTCATTCGTTAAATGATATTTTTTGCGTAAATTGTTATGGCATTCCTTAAGAGTAACACATTATATGCACAATATTGAATTTCTATTTGAACCCTACCGAAATAAGTTTGCCTATATTTACCAAATGGTTTATTTTTCTATGACATAGTTAATGCATTTTACCGAAACTAATTTGCTATTTACCGAAAGCTAATTTGCTATTTACCGAATGCAATAAAGTAATATTCGATAACTTGCGTTGTTGTTCGATATTTTGTCACGTGATTTCGAAATTTGCAAAATGGCCGCGCAGCTATTCTACATCGTACAAATATATCACGTGACTGAAAGTCTCGTAAATTATCGAAAAATAACGAAATTTATCGAATGTGGCATTCGGTATTTACCGAATATAAATAATTTAAATACCGAATGTACAAATAATTAATTGAATTATACGTGCGTTAAGGAAAACAAATTGATTCGCTGCATCACACAAATACATGTATACATATCAAATGTGAATGTCAATGCAAAGAACAAGTGAAACTATATAGCGAATATAAATTGTATAGATTATTACATTTGATAAAATAAAAAAAAATTCGATAGATTGGGTAAAGGTTTGGTAAATTGTTTGATTTATTTGGTATTTATGGAATATTAATGTACCGAATAAAGAAGCAGTTTAAACACCATAGACTAAGTCAATGATAGTTGTTTTGAAGAAGAGAGTTATGATATTTGTAACAATATCTTTGACCGACTAGTTTGCCAAGTCTGACGATAGTGGAATCTGTGACAATCATTAAAACTGTGGCAATGATAAGAGATGTGGAAATTAGGAAGTTTGTAACAATGATAACAAGGCATTAACATGACAAAATGTCACCACCTAGTTGCTCACAATATTGTTCAAATTTCAAGTCGGATTTGAACTTCTGAGAGTTTGAAGCTGATCTCGAAAATTGAGTCAATTTAAAGCTAGTTGAAAAATACACTTTTGACCTTTTTTGACCTTTTGGGTATTTGGGCAAATTCAAGGGCAATGAAGGTCAAATCTCTTAAGATCTTGTACATGATTTTGAATAAATGGCAAAGAAGCAAGTTTAGAAAATACCTTTTTACCCAATTTTCCCTGAGAAGGTCATTAGAGGTCAAATCTCAAGTCGGATTTGAACTTCAGAGAACTTGTAGATGATTTTGAAAAATGGTCAATTTTAAGCAAGTTGAAAAAATCCTTTTTACCTTATTTACCTTTAGAAGGTCACTGGAGATCAAATCTAGAGTCAGATTCGAACTTCTGAGAACTGAGATGCTTTTGAAATGAAAATTTGGTGAATTTGAAGCAAGTTGGAAAAATACCCGTTTTACCTTTTTGTGACCTTGAGATAGTCATTGAAGGTCAAATCTCAATTCTAAAGTCAGATTTGGACTTCTGAGAACTTTTAGATGATTTTGAAGTCAGTCTAAACAGTATTTGTAAAGTGATTGAAAATTGTAATACATTTGTTACAGACGCTGACCGCCGGACACCTACCCCCGTCACAAAAAATGTCACAACCTTTGATGGTGACATAAGAATTTGTTCAATGATGACAAGATGTCGACAAAGAGGCAGAGGTATGATCAGTCAGATTCAGTAAAACTACGTAACCCTGGACTATAATACCTGGCAGGGGAATTCTTCAGGTCTGTTTTTAGTTGCCGCAGTAGTTCAGTGAGCGGGGTCAGTGACTCTAGCGTTGGTGTCTGTATGACCGTCTTTAACTGTTGTACGTAATACTGTACTGCGAATCCGGATTCTTTAGGCCGCTTGAATTAAAAACAATCAATTTTAGTTTTGGAAGTTTTAGATGCATGTGGTATTGACAGAATAATTAGGTAAATTGATTTTATTTAGTTATCCTCTTCAACTATCTCGTCTTTTTGTAATCAGAAAAATAAGTCATGGGCGATGATAAGATTGTACATTGTAGTAGGCTATACCTGTTTTCTTAAGATCTCTCTCTTTTCTATTGGTAAACGTCTTAGGGTGTTTTCTTTCTGTACTGACATTGGAGATGTCATCTCCTAAAATTAAACAAAATGCAATTTGGAAAATTATATTTATATTATATATTTATATATATATATTATATTTATTTCCTGTAGAAATATGTTGATAACATGATACAATATGGAGAAAACATTTTCTACGATTATGTAAGACCATAGCCACGGCTGAGAAAAAATACAAAACTATTTTTGAGAAATTGTTAAATCATCGGAAATAATATTTCCAAAACTATTAAAAACTGAGAATTTACTTACAATATATTCTCCAAAATCTTCATATACTACAACATGGTTTTGTTTACTTGATACATCTTGATAGCCACTCTTGATGCCAATTTCTGATATCGAGCTGCAGTAAGAGGGCTCAGACAGTTTCTGTGAACAAGTTGACACTGGTGAATCAGAAGTCCTTGGTGCGGGAACCTTTTTAATGGGAAGTAATTGTTGACGGTTCTGAGCAGGTATTTCGTCAAGTGATCGTCCCTGTTGACTAGACTTTTCTGCACTGAAGTCATTAAGATGTATGTATCCATTATTGAGGTACTCTGTTTTACCATTCTGGTGGCTGTAAACTTTTGTATAATTCTGGAATTGCTCCTTTGAGTGTCTCTGTTTATTTTGTATGCGAGGGGTTCGATGTCGGGGCAGTTTTCGATGAGGAACAGATGACCCGCGATCGGATTGAAAATCCTTGCCATTTATATCAACCCGCAGCTCTGGAAAAAAGTTTTAAATGTTCATATTCTGTGATACTGGTAATAGAGATGTTGAATCTATTTAGAATCTGAAAGTGAGCTTTACAGGGAATGTGATAGTCTAATTTCAGTAGTCATATCATAAGGGTTTAAAAACCCCAATTATTTCAAAATTTCATTTCAGAATTTAATTTGTGTGTACTATTGAGAACTATGTATTACTGTATTTTCATATATTATTCCCCAGTCATTAGTAAATATATATGCACAACTTGTGCATTGAATGCCAAAAGGGAAGGGTGACTAAAAACGTTAGGGAAACCCAACAGGAAAAGCAAACTGTAAGTGTAAATCTGTCATAAGAAAAGTAGACCCTATATATCCCAAAACCATGATCTAACGTGAAAAGAAACAATGTCTAACATCCCCCTCCAATCGAGAACCAATATCACAATCCAGGACCAGAACACCAAGGGACATTTCATTCATACTAAAGTCATTTCAATACATTTTGAAGAAAAATTGATAGCCAATACTCATAACATCAAAAATAGTTGTAGATACTAGATAGTACTCATAAAAGATAGAGTATTCAGTCTCAAATGATGTGGGATAGATAAAATCCAGTCTCGAAGTCCATAGGCAATTCAAAGGGTCAACATCCGTTCGCAAAGCCATCATCATAATCCATAAAAAAGACAATTCACAATGGTCATCAGGAGAAAACTATGGCTGGTTTCGATTGCCATAGCCGGGATCCACCTCAAAAGGTGCCAAGTGAGAAAATTGTGAGTTCAAATTAAAAGTGCAGTGCTGCTTGACTGTTTACTGACCAAAGTCTTACTGAAATTCTAACATAATTCTACGCCCATGTTCTGACGACTTCATCACAAATTACCAATACCCATACGAAGCACAGTGATAAATAATAGTGACACACGCGACTACTTTCACGTCTCAAGAGGAGTACGCCAGGGGTGCCCACTGAGGCCATACCTATTCATATTATGCGCTGAAAGACAAAGGCAGTAAGACAAGATATCCAAATAGAAGGAATCAAAGCTGATGACACAGAAATAAAAATGTCACAATACGCTGATGACACTACACTGTGTAACAGTGCCATTGTTACTTAAGTCAACAGAATCAGTGAAAAACGCAGTATATTTACTCCCAAAATCTGGAAAAATTTCAGGTTTAAAGATAAACAAAACAAAACAGATGTCGGTATTATTAGAGATACAAGCTTAGAACCAGAAGCACAACAACAGACAGAACAAACATGTGCAGAACTAAATATTAAATTTACAGCAGATAAAGTAACCATGCCATGGATCGCAATACCTTTATCAAACAGACAATTCATTGCAGACCTGAATTACCCAAAAGCTAAAAAGAGAACTAAAGACTTAATTAGGTCATGGGAAAGAAGAAACATTACTCCACTTGGAAAAATCACCTTAGTCAAAATTTTACTTCTTTCCCAAATTACTTACATGGCAACAGTTCTACCAATGCCAAAAGACGACCTTATTCAAGACACAGAGTCAAGCTTCTGCAAATTCATATGGAGCAACAAACAAGATAAGATAGCACGACGTACAATGATGGGAAACAGAGAAGAAGGTGGACTGAAAATGGTCCATCTCAAATCCTACATAGAAAACCTAAAAATCAAATGGACCGAAAAACTCATTCATAGAACCTAATGGTAAATGGGCAATTTTGAACTCTTATTTTCAAAGCCTGAAACGAAAAAAACTTGACTCTATTCTCTATATTTCAGAAAATCTCCGTTACAATATGTCAAAAATTGATGTCAAATTTGAGAAAAATTAAAAGAAATGGCAGAACCTTAGATTTAACATGTACACCTATGAGGCAAAATACTGGTCCTTAACTTTTTAAGACTCATTTTTCAAAAAACGACCATAGTTGTAGCATATGTCATTCTAATACAGAATATAAAAACGATTTATTGATACCATTTTCATCACCAATATTGACAGATTGAAGAAACAATTCAAAATGTTGATGTGCTGATACGTAATTTGTATTTTTAAGCAAAATAACGTCAAAATAGTTGAGAAACCTAAAACCTAAACTCAAAATTTATTTCTTATAATTTTTTACAGCATTATGTACTTCAAATCGTAACAAGGGGGATTTTGTTCTTACGTACATTATATTTTGACCCCTGCTAATAGCACACATAATTCAGCCCAAAAGCCAGAAGAATATTGAACGGCTATAATAAAATCAATACTGGACATGTGTTATCATGGAATACCATGGCTCTGTCTTGCATCATACACACCGGTAGTATCCAAAGCCCCGCTATGTCAAAGTCGCGAGCAAGTTCCCGCTGAAATCGCGAGGAATAAAAAAGTGATGGGTTGTCTTTTGTTTACTTGAATTGTATGATGTAAAAAACGTTTTCTTTTTAATTTTCCGCAATGATTACATGGTATTGAGACTAAAAAGGCAACTGATGGAAAAAAGTATCACGAGCGGCCGTTCTATGGTTCTTTATTTCAATTGACAATTGAAGAGAGAAAAGTATCATCTTGAATCTTTATCTATATATTTCTATACGTTATTGGTGAAGAACGACGTTGTCCTGTGGTTGAAATAATGGTAGTGATTTGAAATAAAAATGTACTGAGTTTCACTTCCTAAAGCTTTACAGGAACGAACGCACACTCGAACGAATGGATGGTCGGACGAACGCACGCACGCGCTAACGATCGGACGGACGAACACCCGAACTGACGGTGGGACAAACAAACGCACGAATGGACGGTTGGATGGGCGCTGTCACGAACAGACGGTTTGACGATAGCACGAATGGACGATTTGACTATTGCACGAATGAACGAACGAACAAACGAACGAACAAACGGTCAGACGAACGCATGCCTGAGCGAACGAATTTCGAACGAACGCACCAACGAACGAACGGAAGGTCGAACAAACGCACACACGAACGTACGGTCGGACGAACGCATGCACGAACGAACGAACGGTCAGACGAACGCACCCAAGAATGGACGGTCAGAACAACAAACAAGCCGATGTAATATATGTGTCCTCAGAAACTCCTTTGAACATAGAATTATATAGAATTTACATTTAACTGTACAAAAGTACAAAGTCTGTTTACACATTTAAGAATTTTATTTTATAACGACGCTGACAGATGGATCAAACTGCCTTAAGTTGCAGAAGAAATAGTTGCGATGTTGCCATTGATATGTTATAATGGAACTAATTCGTTATTGGCACGTTCTTGTACGTTCATATAAAGAAACTGAATATCTTCATGGAATAATAATGAAGCTTTCCTCGGGATCGAAGCGGGACCTCCTCATGTTTTCAGCGGGACCTCCTCATGTTTTCAGCGGGGCCACTGAAACACCTTTAAAGATGTATTTTGACCTCCATGGCAGACGTAATTGCACAGTTACTTATCAATACAGACCATATTGATCCAAAATGCATTATGGAGTATGTAAATCGTATGTATTGCCTTTGTTTTAACGATAAAAGTAATATATGAACAGTAAATTATGCAAACATGCATGTTGATGCCCTTCTTTTCAATGTCAGTGAAGAAGAATAGTTTTTTATGTCATTGTTTGTCAAATGTATCTGTTTTTAAAGTAATGCTGGAGTATGGAAGAACAGTAATAAGTATTTTCACCCTTTGGGTCCATTTTCCAAAGTGATGCAAATAAACAGGACTATGCTCGCGATTTCAGCGGGAACTTGTTTGCGACTTTGAAATCATAGCGGGGCTTTGGATACTACCCGTGATACAGTGAGTGGGTGTATAGCGTGTAAAGGCTAACTGGTATTTTAACCGTATCAGGATTTTGACAGCTGATCGTCTTGATTTGGGGTTCGAATCTCCTCCGGAATCTATCCTGCACACTCTAAAACACATTTGATTAAATGCACGGAGAGCTGATTTGTGGAATGACAACCGTCGGATCCAAACCAACGGAACAAACTTAAAACTTATAGAACGTTTAAAGTTAAAGACAACTGTGACTGTGAGCCTTATCTGAAAATCAGTCTATCACTATTTGATAGAAGGACATTTGCATCCTTACGCTGTGGAGTCGCCAAAATTCGAATTGAAACTGGCAGATATGAACGTTGGCTGTTCAAGATAGACTTTGTGTGATTTGCAATGGAGGGGTCGCACTTGTGGGGAGGATGAACAGCATGTTATAAATGAATGTATTGGATAGAGCGGGTTCTATGTAGATAAGACATGTGTTTTATAGGCCATTGTCAGCTCGGGGTTCGTTCTAATTGATATTTTATGTATAGTTGTACCCAAGATACTATAATTATAAATTTCACAATTCCAATAAAAATCATAACTAAAGACAGACAGGTTTTTAGATGCGATGTGTATTAGAATATCAGAAGACATGTGTAGGTCAAATCTCAAATTTGAAGTCAGATGTGAACTCCTGAGAACTTGTACATAATTCTAAGTTTGGTCAATTTGAAGCAAGTTGAAATCAGTTATGAACAAAATACTGTAATCGGCCGGCCGCATGTCGATGAATCGGAGCAAATGTGACATAGGCCTAAGCATCCGAGGGATTTCATACCAAGGACTATACGCTGTCACCGATAACCTTACGATAATCGTATGATGACCGTATGGGCGCCGGTTGGACAGACTGCGATGAGTTTGATTGAGAGAAAAATCGTTCAGACATCGGCAACTTTTATGTCCGAGATAATATTCTCCCGGCGCCCGAAAAATGCTAAAAAATCGGAAGATTGTTGCCGGAGATTGGCCGGCGCTCGTACGATGCCTCCACGATGCCCGACCGATGTTGAAAAATACTAATCGGCTGGCGCCCGCGCGATGAATTGGAGCCTTTGTGAGCTGGGCATCACAAATCGGCCGGGGATCGGCTGGCGCCAAGTGCTTGCTTTATGAGCTAGGCATTACTTACGGATATTGAAAATGACGTTGCTCTAGCTGACTTTTCATAAGCTCAAAAGGGTACAATATAGTATATTTTAACACTCTGGGTATCTGGCTACCAAGCAGACTGAATACATTTGCGAACCCAGGGGTACGAATGTCGCTTTACCAGTGACTTTGCGAACCCTGATGGTCTTAATCAAATTATTAGCTTGTACCAAGCGATATCAGTTATGTCATCGATGGTATTAAAGGGTTAGTGGCCAAAGTACATTATGTTAGAACACTAGCAAAGACTCTAAACAATATGGCTTTGAATCCTAAAAGTCCAAGTATTTTTAATTGCTGTCTAGTCCCTTATAAGCCGAATGCCGGCTGGGCTATGTATATTTAGTATGTAGGCTAATGTGTATAAATTATTTTAAATCAACGTATATAACTAAAACCATTATAATCCTGTCTCATTAACATCTATCACTTTTTGTCTTTGTGAGTATTATCTGTTAGAGAGTATAAAATCCTTACCGAGAACTTGATTTTTAATCCATTATTTAATCTTCATTTGCCGTATTTACGATGGCAATTTGTGCAAGGTATAATTTCAGAATATATTCAAACAGTTACTGTTCTGTTCCAATCGTCAAGTTTCGGAAGGTTTTCTTAATATACTTTAATTTTAGTAACGCAGGACATGTGTATTTTAGGAAAGTCCGGGATGCTCGACTTTATTGAGCCCGTTTTTAGTGTGTACTCGTTATTATAAAAAAGTCAACATTTGACGATTTTAAAGTGTTTAGTAGTTATGAAGTTAAATAAATTCTCATATTGGGAAAATACCTAAATTATACAAATTGAAATATGACAACGGGTACTGTATAAAACATCTACGGTTGTCTTGGTTATATTTTTCAAATTAAGAATCCATTATCTTTGGTGATATGAAAAACAATATATTGCGGCGACTTTTTCTAAATAAAAATTTCATATAATACACCACAACAAGAGCTTAATACTTGCAAATAACTAGCGGAGATGAGGTTTTATGAAATGAGAACAGAGCGATTAAGGACTTGATGCGGTGGTTACGTTCTCCATTTTGAACCAAATCTGACGTCGCCGTTGTCAGTGTGTTTCGATGTGCATATGGTATTCTTGAAAATGATTTGGTGTATGATCATTACAATAAACTTATCAGATGTCATTAATGAGTGAATTGCAATTAGAATATAAATTAACTTATTAATATCCCTTTTTGTAATAATACGAGGTTTATAAATGACAAAAATTATTTGCAATAAACAAAACAATTTGCTTTTCGTCATCTCAGTTTTAAAAAGCTTTTTTTGCCTGTAATATAACTACTAGACGAAGAATACAAATACACAAATTTAATTGCAGTAAAACATACTGACCTTCATAAACAGGATCTGAGGGCATTTCCACGAAAACATTATCATTGTCATCAACATGTCTAAACATTGCATATGGATTCATTGCTATAAAATCTGGAATTTGTCTTATAACCGATTTAATGGCGACATTTCCCTGAATTCGAGTCAGGCTTCCATTGATTTCCGGGATGTGCGTGAATCCCGTGTCTGCTACAAAGTTGTTATTGTTCAGTAGTCTATTGGTGTCAAACCTTGGAAGGGCTCTTGTTTTCCTGCTCGGCATCTTATTGTTGGAAAATTCCTATTTCTTATCCACGTACAATACCATCGATTAATACATCATAATGTTTTTCGCTATAGGTTGTAGTGAATTAGTAGTAAATAAGTGATAAAAACTCAGTCAATAATCACAAACATATCTTATTTTGATTCATATGGGGTGACAAACACCAGGATAAATCTTGTGTAAATCAGTTGGGTCTCTGTGTAATCACTTTCTTAAAAGATAGCATTTTGACCTTCATCTCATATGTCAAAACGATATTATGAAATATATAGTTATTAATTCTAGTGTCTTGTTTTCGACAACTTATGTGAGAAAATTATCACAGCTTATGTGAGGATGTCGGAGTTAATACATAGCCCCAGAATGTTTAGTCTGGACATAATACATCTAAGTTTTACCCGGACTATATACTACTCCCGGTGTCAACGTAAATATGGACCGTGCTTCATATGGTCCGCTAGACTATAAGTACTGGGAAATAAAGTCCGGGACTATATTATCTAGAATAACAAGGCCGATGGACTATATTTCCTCAGATATTCTAGTCCATTCGCAAGAATTTGATGTCCGGGTGGACTATAAATACCAAATTATGGTCTTTTTAACCTTCAATCCGGACCATATTTTCTTGTAAAAAATGTCCTTGGACATGTATTGAACTTTGCTATACATTTTCAGTTTATGCCCATCGATAGTTTGTTTGAGTTGTAGTCAGAGTTCATTAACTAGTTTATATTCATTTCAATTCGTTTGTTCATCTTAAACACTGGTCCAGATCTGGTTATAGATACAGGTACGTTACGTTTTTATAACAAAACAGATGAATTCCCAAAAAGAAATATTAAACAGGCGTGTTGATTCCGATCGTGTAACCCGAATAATGGGGCAGATGTAATTAAACGATACAGCCCCCAAGGACAAGCATAACTAGAAAAATTAGAAGAACTGGTGTTGGGGACAGATGCAACCAGAAAAAATAGTCCGATTGGACTTGTATAACTAGAAAATTAAGGAAATGTTGTCTGGGGGACAGAATTACCCGGAAAATATGTCTCCTGGACATGCATTGTTAATATAGGCTAAATCATATAAGGCAAGAATAGTCAGAGACAATTTTGGTTTCATTTGATGCAGAATATGCTAAAAGAATGACAAAAATAAGGAATGAGCGGGACTCGATCCACATCATAGTCAACAGTCAACACGCATGAAACTGTCCTAACCACTATACCAAAGGTGATTGGACGAAATCAGTTTTTTTTAATTAATATATTAATTCAGCATATACTATAATACGTCATTTATACATTTAATATTGACATAACAGCTAGGACCAAAATCTAGCCGGACAATCTATTCGTTCACTGTCAACGTATCTATTGTCCGTCAGTAAGTATAGTCCAGGGTTATATTGTATACCAATACAGAAAATATGGTCCAGTTAGGACCTGGTGTCCTAGGGTGTATGGTCACACGGACCATATATTCAGGGAGACTATATTTACTCTGACAACGGGATACTAGAATAGTATTCTATATTGCTTTAAAATATACATCCGGACAAAATGTTTTAACGTAGAATATCCTAATAACTGAATAAAATGTATCTTGACACTTATTAGAGTCAATACCTGCCACTGCTATTTAAGCCTTCCCATGATACTCATGATCAATAGTCAGAGGGGGAGAAACACCAGGGTTCAAAGATGACATACGCTTATAATGTAAATCTGTATTGAGATGACACGGTCGCTGATTGGTCAAAAGTCGACAAACAAATGACGTCATCAATGGCGGTTTCAAAATTTTCGAAATACGCTTCGAATAATATTATGTTCATTTCTGGCGTGTTAACCAATATCATAGCTTCTCATTTCACATCAAGATAAAGAAAGGTGTACGGAATATGCCTATATCAATTATAACATCCCATCGAAGTGTAGTATTTGATAACTAGCCGATGAAAATTCGAACGAACGAAGGTGGTAAGCAAGAGAGGTAATTATGTCTGTCATCTTGAAACTCTGGGGCTTTCCCTCCTCTTATCAATAGTATAGTTTCCATATAGGGTCAAGATTGCAGTTAAAAATCCCATTGAGGACCATTATAACGTTTCATTTCATAATATATTCATGGGCACAGATCTAGCTCAGCGAAACAGTGCCTAGTGTTCATTGGAGTCTTGTCTAGCTTGCCGTTACAAAATAATGATACGGTGACCACACCGTTTTTGAGATAACTGAATCTGGAGAGAGCTACCACTGTAAAGCTACCTGTTTCAGAAAATTATTCTGCTACATAGTCTTAAAAATCACTCCGCCATCTCTAAAAATTCTTTTTCTAACCAAACTTGTAAATCTTTCCTGATAGATTAGTACTTACCCTATCGAGAATAAACCTTGATTCATTTATCAAACACTAGATGGCGCTGCGACGGGCCAGAAAAAGGAGAAAGGGCTTTTTTATACTGGAAACCAAATAACCAACGGTAACCGCTAGTATCCCTACTCCGAACTATATTCATAGCTGAATAAAGCTTAACTAATAGATAGATGTCACTCTTCTGATTTGCTTTAACTTTTGACTTTAATGCTAGAAACTTGCAATGGTCACTTAATTTCATGATTTATCAAAAAATTATTCAGTCGAATCTGTCTGAAACTGAAAATATTGGTTGTCATACGAATAAACCAAGGTGTTAAAGAATTTAAGAATTGCACCAATGGAGATTTGGCCCAAGATCTTTTTTAAATTCAATTCAATTCAATTCAATTTATTTATTTCATAATTCTTATATAATATACACTATAAAAACAGACCGCTGGACACCCTAGTGGGTATATGTTGCGGTTTAACAGAAATTTTTAAAATTACATCTAGACTACATATAAAAGAAAGCACTTATATTATGTTACATGTAGGTATATAAAATGTTATTAACAAGTACTTTAAGGATGTACACTGTAGAAATGTTACAAAAAATCGAGTACCAGTATAAAATCAAAAATCAACAATACAGTATTATACAGGGTGGTCCAAAATAAATGGGACACTCGTATTTCAAAAATAGATATTGATTTTCCTGATGAAAACATGTCATATTATATACCAATAGATAGGGAATTTACTCATCTTTAATTTGGTATATCATAAGTTCAGATTTATTATAATGTCTGTCAACCAGCGTCCATAATATAAATGACGTCATTTTCGTTTCAAAACAGGTCTTCCAAAACTTGCAAAAACAAAGTTTTATTATCAACTTTATTTACATAAACAGACGTTCAATATGCCCATCATTTTGATCAATTGTAGCCCTTAATTTTGGCCTAAACTGGTCAATGGCATCATTGATATACTGTTGAGACAATGAATTTTACTTCTCAATAATTCTGTCCAAGATATAAAGGATTTATGGTTCACTAATTCTGTTAGTTCTCCCCATATGTGGTAGTCGCAGACGTTGGGTGATCGGGTGATCTGGGGATTCAGTGATTAAGGGGGGGGGGGTGAATCTAGGCACATTTTCTTTTAAACATTTGACATTTGTGGGATCTATTGCTTAGAGCCCCATCTTGTTGGAAAATGTAATGATTCCAAAATGAGCTCATATCAGAATGGTCCAAAGACAACATAATTGGATCATCAGATATCAACGTCTTCAACAACCACATGTTAGGAGAACTAACAGAATTGGTTTATCATGAACCCCTTACATCTACTCAGTCCCTTACTAAGGATAGAACTGGTGAGAAGTGAAATCCATTGTCTCAACAGCATAGTAATGATGCTATTGACCACTTTTGGTCAAAATTAAGGGCTACAATTGATCAAAATGGAGGACATATTGAACGTCTGTTTATGTAAGTAAAGTTGACAATAAAACTTGGTTTTTGCAAGTTTCGGAAAACCTGTTTTGAAACGAAAATGACGTCATTTATATTATGGACGCTGGTTGACAGATATTATAACAAATTTGAACTTATGATATACCAAATTAAAGATGAGTAAATTCCCTATCTATCTATTTTTTTCGAATCGGCAAACTTCGGTACAATAATGAAGTGCATAAAAATCGTGAAACAGGTGTCAGGGGCTTCCCCTGATCTTTCCATACATGGTTCTAAAAGCCTTATATGGATCTATCACGTGACATTCAAAATGACGTTCCTATATGGTTCTATGGGCCTTATATGGATCTTTCGAACACGTGACCTAATACCAAATCAAAATCAAAATTTTACCTTGACCATTGGATGGGATTTCATAGAAAATATCAAAGAAAACATATTCTCGTGATCCTTAATCACTTAAATTCGATCATTTTATCTTCACCCCTTGATGGAATTTTATGAAAGAAGTTATGAAAACACATCATCATGTAAGGGTTTTCACCTAAATTAGCTCGTTTTATCTTGACCCTTCAATTGAATTTCATTGAAAAATGTTTCATGAAAAATATCATCATGTTATGATTTGTATTTAAATAAGACCGTTTCATCTAAATACTTGCTGGATAATATTTCATAAAAAAATGCACTTTAAAAATATTTCAGGATTTGCCTTAATTTATCAATGTAATGTAAGTATTAGATTGACTCTCAAATAGGGTTCTATTTTAACTTTTTTATTGAAATTAATACTAGGCAGGACTCACTCTATAAATAGCTAATAAAAATTCAACCCTTGGATGTGATTTCGTTGAAAAAAAAATATGACAAGTCCAGAATCAAATGATTTGTCCAGAACCTCTCAAGATCCTGTTAATATTAAATATATATATATATAACTACCTGTCAATAACAAGATGATTGGTTAGATATTCTAGGAATTATATATGGCTTTGATAGTACATCCCTTAATGTGTACTTTTGAAAAAATGATTTATGTTTCCAACCAATTGATACACATTGATGGAAATTGTCATGGTTGTAAGACATGATATTTAGACGATTACCTGTAAATATCAAGATGAAAGGCTGTATATTCTAGGAATT